CCGCCCTCGCGGGCGCGCGCGCGCGCCCATGAGGTTCACCAGCGCTACTTCTGCGGCCCTGAGGCGCCCAGGGGGGGGGACCGTGCGCAGAGGGGAGAGAGGAGGAAGTCGGGGGATTAGTAGAGTAGTGGCTATCCCAAGGTGGAGTTAGGGAATACATCCAGCTGGATAGTCACATGTCCTTACGCGGGCCGTTTTAAGCGTTGTTCTTCCAAGCTCACATCCGCCCCGCCCCAACTTCACGCATCCCCGAGGAAGGAGCAGCGGGGAGCAAGGGAGGAAGAGGCGGACGACGGCGCGACGGGAAAGGGGAGGAGAACGAGGAGGGGGAGGAGTACGGAGGTGGAGGACATAACGTGAGAGGAGGGGCATGGGCAGAAGAGGGTGAGGAGGGATAGGTGGAAAAGGCGGAGGAGGAGGAGGAGCCCGAGGATGGAGGAGGAGGAGGAGCCCGAGGATGAAGGAAGACTAGGAGCGGGTGCCGCGGCAGGAGAAGGCCGAGAAGGAGGAGGCGGAGAAAAGAGACGAGGACGAGGACGCAATTACATGGGAGAACCTGTCGGCAGGTAAGGCGGGATGATGCCTGAGCCCAGGCTCAGCGCACCTCGAAGCAGAAGCTGACCGAGAAGAAGCACCAGGACAGCCCCGCAGCGCCAGCTCCACACTGGATGGGGGGCGGGAAAGTGAAGCGGCGCGTTGGGGCGTGGGGGTTGGCGAGATCACCGCGCCTCCACATCCGAGTCTTCTCTTCGCCATCCCGTCTTCATTGTCTCTCATGTACATCATCATCAGCAGCAGCATCATCATCACCAACAACACCATCAGCATCACCAGCAGCATCATCAGCATCAGCATCAGCATCACCATCATCACCATCATTATCGTCATCATCATCATAATCATCATTAGCAACATCACCATTACCATCATCATCATCATCATCATCATCATCATCATCATCATCATCATCATCGTCGTCATTGCCATCATCACGTCATCAGCATCATCATCATCATCATCATCATCATCATCATCATCATCATCATCATCATCATCATCATTCAGCATCCATCCACCATCGCCCGTCATTCATCAGTCACCACTCACCATCCTCATCAGCAACAACAACATCATCATCGTCAGCATCCTCATCATCATCACCATCCTACTCATCATCAGTATCATCAGCATCGTCACCAGTATTACCATCAGCATCACCATCGTCATTGTCATCGTCATCCTCAACGTCGTCATTTCTCTCGTCATCATCATCATCACGTCATCATCAGATCATCAGCATCTTCATCATGCAACATCCATCCACCATCCTTTGTCATTCATCGTTCACCATTCATCATCATCATCACCATCAGCATCAGCAACAACAATATCATCATCAACATCATAAGCAGTAGCATCATCATCGTCACCATCATCAGCATCACCAGTATTCCCACCTATTTGGCTCATTTGGTGTGTAGGGCCTGCCTGCATATTTCTGGAATGCGGGTACCAAAACAGTAGCACACTCGTAGAGCCCTCTGGGGCCATCTTGGCGGAATCTTGGCGCCATGAGGGGCGTCCAGGTCGAGGCGGGTCCCGCTTTTCATATTGAATCGTTGGGGTCCGGGGTGGATGTGTGTTCTGCTGGCGGAGGGCGTCTCGGACGCCGCGGGACCCCAGACGGAGGGCGGCCTTGCGATCAGATTGCGACTCTAAGCTACCGCGTACAGGGTGCCCTGGGTTTCTTGGGTTTCGATGGTTTTGCGATGGCAAGCGTGTTGTTCCCACCCCAGAAATCAAGGGACGCCTTGGGGTCTCTTCTTTTGGAAGGCTTCCTGTGGACCGGCCTCCACTGTATCCGAGATGTCAGAGGAGTGTGCGGAGCATGATCTCGGGAAGCCGAGAACGACGTATATGCGCAAATTTTCGGAGGTCCGCGCTGACCTTTTGGATCGGCGCTGGGCTCCCCTCCCAGGCGCATGGAGCGCACCGGGGGCGGCTCCAGAGGCGCCGCCAGGAGGCTCCAGCGACGATCCGGGGATCCCGCGCGGACCTCGGAGAGTGTACGCGCCGGTCGTTGAAAGTAGGCATTTTTGGATCCTCAGATCCCAATCTACTTCAAGCGCCTTCCCACTTCAAGGATCGACACGCTTTTGCTGTGTTTTGTTATTCTCTGCGGGGGCCTGGACCCAATCAACTTGATCCGCCTTCCTGCTTTTTGTTTTTACCTGCTTCCGACCGACGTGTATGCTTCTGTCATTCCCTGCTCCCCGGTGAGTAGAAATTCAACTCGATCGGGCACGATGTGTCGGAGAATACGCCTGCCTCGGCCGCAGGATCGTCACACTCGTCAAGGTCACTGCCTGCGCGTCGCGCGGCGAGCCCTCCGCTGTCGTCGGCCGCCCCTCGACAACTGCAACAGACGCGGGGAGGCCCCTGCTCGGCCTGCAGCTCGGCTCGCGTGTGTCGGAGTCCTGGGCCCGCTCGTGCCAGCTGTCGTGCGCTGCCCCCCGCGAGGCACTCGTGTGAGCCATGGCCTGGTGATAGTTTTCTCGTTCATTGTTTTGCCGATCGGCGCAGGCCCTCGCACCTCGTACCCGCCTCTCAACCCTCCCCATGGAGTTGATTTTGGCTGTCAGGGGCGCCTGTTTTCGAGCAGGTGGACGGCCCCCCACAGGACGCACTACTGCAAACAGTCGCACTGAGCAGGGGTCTGGGGCCAGACCCCCCCCTCCCCCCACCCCTTCTGCCCAATGTCGAAACGCCGAATAAGGAAAGGCTCACCTGGGCGCCACACTGGCATGACGGACTGCCCCATTTTCCCCCTCGTCCTCGCGCGAAAGTGGGCATGAGCGCGATCCGCGAACGAGGCGGCTGCTCTGATGGCGGCTGGCGCCCGCTGCGCAGGCACGCCTCCGCGCCTGCACTCGGCGGCGAGCGCCCTCGGCTCGGGACGGCGCCGCGTCAGCTGCGCTGCCCCCCCGCCGACCTGACCGCCGTGGCGGGCAGCATCGTGTCTTAGCGAGAGACCGGTCGACGTTCTGCGCGTCTGTTCCGCACGTTGGGTGGGGAAGTACACGGCTTTGGAGTGCAGCCTCCCCGGCCGCGCCAGCATGTCTAGGGAACCAGGCTTGAGGCGATTGGCGGCATTCGCCTATGTTGAATCGCGCTGTCCGTTCCCACATTCTCTTTCCAAGAGAGCGCATCCTTGCGAGAGGCAGGGGATCGGGGGAGGGACCACAATGGCCATGGCCAGGATGCCGCAGAATCTTGCGGGCGCAGCTCCTGGTCGTGGTCCATGGTGGCGGGCTTGAGCGCGCACGGAGCCAAGCCAGAGCGCCGGATACAGCAGGATGCTGCAATGCTCAGAGGGGAAAAACCACACAGACACAATCAATCGTCGATTCCCCAGAAAATAAGGGGAAATATGGGAAGTGGGGAGGAAGACAAAAACCCAGAAAAATATAAGGAAATATTGGGAATCCCGTTATTTGTGTGTTTTTATGTGTGTATCCCAGTGCCCCTTTCAAATGCTGGACTTCGGTTGAGCCCGGTGTGGGCGCCGCTCGCGGCTTTGGAAGCGGCCTCACATATTGGCCGAGCCGGGTTTGGCGTTTCAGCATTTTTCTGGACGCCCGAAATGGGTACCAAAAGAATTGGTACAATGCCCCACAGCAGTTCTTGTTCATTTTGAACAGGACTCGCTGTCCGCGCCGCCGCGGGCTGTGTCCACGTGAAACAGAAGGCATCTTGGTTTGGGATAACATTTGTTGTTGGGCATTGTACCCATTCTTTCCGTGCCCATTTCGGGCGTCAACAAAATGGCATTTCAGAATTTTTGTTATGAGGGAGGCGAGTCGTTCGGCTGTTTCGCTATATCCAAGCTCCCAAGGCTCTCCGCGGATCTCGGGGCCGTCAGAACAGCGCAGGACGACGAGTTGGTCCGGGGGAAAACATCGTGGCCCAGGGCCCGCTTACGTCGGGACCGGTCTCTTTCATGCCAAGTTTGCGGGTCGACTTTTTCGTTGTGGACGTTCCGCCGCACGCAATGTTTTAGACGCCGATGCCCGATGGGTAGCGTGTCGCTGGACGTTTCGTTGCTGCCGATGCCCGCCGTGTAGCGTCTTGGACGTTTTTTTTTTGTTTTTGTTTTTCTCTGACGATGGTCCAACTGAGCCGCAACATGTTCCAGGACGTTTTCCTACTCGTGCCGTTCGCCTCGAGGTTAGCAGCGCGAGCGCCGGAAAGGGCTCGCTACAAAAACAGGGCGCGGGCACAGGCGGCGGCAATACATTTTGTTTGTGTCAGTTGAATTTTTTGTGGCGCCCCCCGCCCTGGAAGGCAAGCCGCTGGCCGACTCCCTCCCGAAATACCTCCTGGTGTTTATACCGATTGCGGCGCTGTTTGTTCCCGAGGTGCTACTTGATAGTGCCCGCGCTTTTGCAGGTGTAGGTCGTGCTCAGGCGGGCGATGCAATCCTGCCAGGCGCGACATGGCGAGCGCCAGGATCAGTCACCGTGTTCCTCACTCGTAGTAATTATTGGGTGTAATGAAAGCATTGATCCAGTACGCGAGTCCATCGAGTACGCCTCGATCCAATGTCGATCAGATCACCACGACCCATGACAGGCTGTCGCTGTTCCAATACGAGGCCACGACCAATCCGGATGGACCACCGCCGCGTTTTGCCCACTCGCCCCGATTCCGACTTGTACCATGCAGCCCTTGCGCGCGTTAGTTGCATGCCTTCCGCGGCGCGCGGGGGCACATGTGCAATTGATTTCTTCCTTTCTCCTTGTCTTTTTCGTCGCATTCCTCCTCTTCCATGTCTCTCTCCTTTTGCGAATACCGTCCCCCTCGCCCGCTATTCCGACCCTCTAAAAACATGTTGTTTGTAGGGTTTGCGTGTTTTTTTTCTCTCTTCTGGGGGCACGAGGAGCTCCACAATCGACCGCCCCCTGCTCGCATCCCGTGCGCAGGACGCAGCGAAGAAGGCCATGGTCAACATGGGCATTGTCGGGAAGGACCCTGCACCTCGAAGGGGGAAACACTGCACAGACAAATGTACTGTCGGACCGATGCATAAGGTCGAGGTCGGTTCGATGAGGGTTGATGTTATCCGTGCTTATTGTTGGACGTTCTCGTGCATCTTGGAGGGGGGACCCTCGAATGTTTGCCAGGTTGGCTGGTGGAGGGTCTCGTGTTCTTGAAGGATGCTCTTCTTGCTCAGGCCCAGCCGCACGAGGGTCCGCGCGGATCTCCTGGATCTGCGCTGAGCCCCCTGGCAGCGCCCCGGGCGCCGTCCCTGGCACGCTCCGCGCGCGCCCGCGAGGGTGGCCCAGCGCCGGTCCCGAGGCAGTCCGGCGCCGAGCTCCGAGAGGTGTCCTTCATCGAGGGCGCCCTCGAGGGCGTGGAGTTGTTCGCGCTTCGCGGTTCGGCTCCGATTCCCCCTCGTTCTTTCTCCTCTCCCTTGGGGGGCGGAGCGGGAGCGCGAAGCTGTTCGCGGCGCTCTCGCGAAGCGCGAAGTGAGGAGCCGACCCCCCCCCCCTCTCTGGCTCTGCGGCCAGTTGCGAGTCCTACCCTCCTGCGGGTCCCACCGAGATGCTGGACCAGTTCCGCACATCTCCGCGGGGGAGCTCACGCGCTTGGCTGCAGACACGTCCATTGAGAGCTCTAAGCCGTACCTGACCTGCTTGGGCGGGGCTCGCGTGTGGTTGCCCATCTCGGAGGAGAAACCCAGATCCCCCTCGCGTGCTGACGAAAATCGCAACGGGGGGGGTGGTCGTGGTGTTCTGCCTCTGGAGGCCTTTGCCGGGTCTCGGGCCCGTCCAACAATGATTCAGGATGAAAAATCAGCCCCGGGGAAGGGGTCCAGACCTCTGGAGATCGAGGTTGTCGGGGGGGGAAGAAGAAGAACAACAACAACGACATCAACAACAACAACTACCATGTTAAGACTGTTCGCCCTTATCTGCTCGAGTGTCGAATATCGCGTATTTCCCAAACCCTCGATACCTGCCCTCTTCGTCTTCGATCGAACCCCTTTTGGGGGGTAAACCTTTCTTCCCTGCAGGCCGGCCTCCGGCAAGCGGCGGGGCAGCCGCGGACCGTCGGCCTGGCCAGCGGCAACGCTGATCGGCGGGGCGGCCGCGGACCGTCGACCCGACCCCAAGGAGGACGAACAGGGGACCGACCACGACGACGACGACGACGACGACGACGACGACGACGACGACGACGACGAAGGCGACGACGACGACGACGACGGCGACGACGACGACGACGACGAGCGAAAGCGAGACCGAGAGAGAACGACAGCAGGGTCACAAGGACACGAAGTAGGCCACGAAGGGCGACAGCGGGGACACGAAGGGAATGCGTATGGGGCCACGAAGAGCGCGAACGAGCGGGGGCCACGAAGGGCATACGTACACTGGGCCGCGGAAGGCAAGGACAGGGCCACTGTGGGCAGCAACGGGGCCACGAAGGGCAGCAACGGGGCCACGAAGGGCGACAGCGGGGCCACGAAGTGCAGGAAGGGCCACGAGGGGCGACAACGGGGCCACGAAGGGCATGCGCATGGGGCCACGACGGGCGCGAACGATGGTGGGCCACGAAGGGCAGATCATGCGGGGCCACAGAAGGCAACGACGGGGCCACTGAAGGTAGCAACTGGGCCACGTAGGACATTGAGGGGGCCACAAACGACGGCAGCGGGGACACGACGAGCATGCACATTGGACCACAACGGGCGCGAACGAACGGGGGCCACGAAGGGCATACTTATACCGGGCCGCGGAGGGCAAGGACGGGGCCACTGAAGGCAGCAACGGGGCCACGAAGGGCAGCGAGGGGGCCAACCAGGGCGATAGCGGGGCCACGAAGGGCATGCATATGTGGCAACAACGGGCGCGAACGAGCGGGGGCCACGAAGGGCATACATGGGGCCACGAAAAGCAGCGAGGGGGCCACGAAGGGCAGCGAGGGGGTCGCGAAGGGCTGCAACGGGGCCACGAAGGGCTGCGAAGAGGCCACGAAGGGCAGCGAGGGGGCCACGAAGGGCTGCAACGGGGCCACGAAACAAAGCGAGGGGGCCACGAAGGGCTGCAACGGGGCCACGAAGGGCAGCGAGGAGGCCACGAGGGGTTGCAACGGGGCCGCGAAGGGCAGCGAGGGGGCCACGAAGAGCTGCAACGGGGCCACGAAACAAAACGAGGGGGCCACGAAGGGCTGCAACGGGGCCACGAAGGGCAGCGAGACCCCGATTCTTAGGTAATCTGTGAGGGAATCCTAAACGTGAGCGCGACTCCTGGGTGCCTGGGTGTCGGGAGCGCGGCGCTTGAATAAATTGTCAGAATTTCCAACGCAAGGACGCTATTCTTCAGTAAATTGCAAGCAAGTTTCCAGCGAGAGCAGGACTCCAGAGCGCCGGGAGAGCGATTCCTGAATAAATTGTAAGGAAGTCCCAGCGAGAGCGCGACTCTTGAATAACATGCAAAGTAGTCTCGGGCAGGAGCGGGGGTCCTGGCTAAATTGCGAGGAGGTCTGCGGCGGGAGCCGTTGTTGTTGTAACCCGGGGGCCAACGACACAGTTTGACCTTCAAGATTTCCCCGGATAAAAAAAACAGGGTGCGAGCCCTGGGAACGGCACTTCAATCGAGACAACAAACATGTACACCGGACGGGGTATTTTTCAGGAGTGACAGTTCAACAACAACAACAACAACAACAACAACAGCAGCAACAACAACAACAACAACAACAATCATTTAAGACTGGGGACACTCCGTTCTCACCAGTGCCAGGGTTTTCATAGGAGGCGGGCAATACCCCCACTTTGTGGGGGGGCCGGTTCAAGCTCTACCAAGTTTCCAAACGACTCTTCGCCACCACCCACACCCAGCTTCCCGCCCTATGACGTTCGGACACTTCACTTCGTGGCCTGCGGACGACCTTGGCTACTACACTGGCGCATGGTTACAATGACTTCTTGTGGTAACATCTTGTGGAAACTAGCTTAGTATACGACTTATACCCCTGTTCCAACAATGGGCACGTGTACCGTTTTCCGACGTTTTAACGTTTCTGTACCACACAAGCCAAGACCCTTATTTTGACTGGTATCACGTGCGTGGCGCCAGCATACCACAGGACTTGTTTCCGTTGTTGTGAGACGATATATGCTCATTCTTGTTCTGTGGTTCTCGTTCCGGCCTCAATGTGCAATACTGGCTCACTCGTCGACGAAATACACGTGACTACCTCTCTCTGGTTGGAGGTCCTGATGGTTGTGGTTGTCCCGATAATTGTCGCGATGAGTGTCCCGATGATTGTCCCGATTGTTGTTCCGATGGTTCTCCCGATGGTTGCCCCGATGGTGGTCCCGATCGTTGTCCCGATGGATGTCCCGATGGTTGTCCCGATGGTTGTCCTGATGGTTGTGGTTGTCCCGATCGTTGTCCCGATGGTTGTCCCCATGGTTGCCGCGATGGTTGTTCCGATGGTGGTCCCGATGGTTGTCCCCATGGTTGCCGCGATGGTTGTTCCGATGGTGGTCCCGATGGTGGTCCCTTTGGGGGGTTTCTTGGAAGCATCTTGGGGCCTCTTGGGGGCTTATTGGGTCCTCACGGCGGGCTCTTGGGGCCTCTTGAAGGCCTCCTGGGGCAACCTATGGCGCAACCAGTAGGGGGACGTTTTATTCGCGGCGGCCGAGGGCGCAACCTATGGCGCAACCAATAGGGGGGCGTTTTATTCTCGGCGGCCGAGGGCGCAACCTATGGCGCAACCGCAAGGGTTTATGGCCCCTGGCAGGCGCGCGAACCCCGTTGCAAGAGCGTGCGAAAGTAGCTCGCGCGAGCTCATGTAACATAAATGTTGGAAAACCATTGGTTTTTTTAGGATTCGGACAGCGCGCGCGGGTAGAAATTTTGAAAAGTCGTGCAGGTGTTTTTCGAGGACCTACGGTGCGATTCGTGTGATTTTATGATGCGCGGTGCTAAAATTCTTAAGAACCCAATGGTTTTTGGAGATTTCGGCGTGCGCGCGCGAAGAAAAAACGAATGTGTCCCGCATGGTATTATTTGACAGGGATGATGGCCCTGGCAGGTGCGCAACCGTTGTCGCAGAAGTTCGAAAAAGTTGCTCGCAAAAGCCCGTTTGACAGAAATGTTTAAAAAGTGTTGGGTTTCCTACGAATCCGCAAGAGCGCGCGGGATGAGATTTTGACATTTTTTTGTTGAAAAACCATTGGTTTTTTGATGTTTTTATGTTAAAATCGCTCCGAACACTAAGCTTTTGGAAGGATTTCGTCTTGCGCGCGCGAATGTCCACTTTACCTTATTTTTTGCAAGGGATTCTTGAAATTTGATTATATTAGAACAAGAAATGTCATTTTATAGTGTTTTTTGCAAGGGAAAACGGATTACAACAAAACAACCGGATCTGGATCACATCGTTTTACCTGAGGCTTCCTCACGAAAATGATGAAAATGTAGCTGCGGCCTAGGCGGCGCAGGGGGGGCGCGCACCAGGGGGCCCAACAATAATTATTCTTTAGAATAAATGATGTTCAACAACAACAACAACAACAACAACAAAACGTTTGGGGCTGGGGAACAGGAACCACCGCCACCGAGGACCCATCCGTGCGGAGGGGGGGAGGACCCCTGGGCGGCGCCATGCGTGAGCATCGTCCTGCACTGGGTGACGCTCGTGCGTGCCACCGCCCAAGGGTCCCCCCCCCGATGGGTTCTCGGTGGCGGTGGTCGATGCTTCTATCTGACCATCTCCGAAGACCAGCCGGCGTTTCGGGTTTGGCAGGTGCAGGCGCAGCAACCGCAAAAAATAGTTGGCGCCACGGCTCGACTCAGGATGTCTACCTGCCCTCGCCCGGCGGGACGTGAGAAGGAGAAGACCTTCGCAGAAGGCGGCGGGATTTCTCAGAGGCCCTCGTCTGAGACGCTTCCTGCGTCCTCGGGGGATGCCCAGGAAGAACTCTCATGGGACACTGGAGACCGAGCGTTTGGTCTGCAGCCCTGCTTCCCGAGCGCCCCGCGAGCCTCTGGGGCAGTCCGGCTCGAAGACACGAGGCGCACCCAGGATCGTTTCCGCATGCAAGCGCGTTTGCAAAGCATCGCGATTGCTCATCAGTTCTGGTACCCATCGTGAGGAATGTTATTCCTGTGCACATGGCGGTTTTCCAAGCATATTGATTTGCTTTTGATCGGGCACTTGAGAATGGGTACTGTGCGTTAGTATGGTTAAGGCCAATGTGTTAGTATGTTTCGGACCATCTATGTCAGAGTTCCAGGTGGCGACACGAACGAACTACATAATGTAATGTTCTGAATTCCGCACCCGCCTCGAGGCAGCCCCAGGCTGCCCAGGAGGGTCCCAATGTAGGACCAAGACGGCCCATGACGCAAGCATCCGCAGCAGGGCCAATAACAGTCCATGACGAACCCCAGACGGCCCTCAATGGCTCCAAGAACGCCCCAATACATGCCTGAAAAGGGAACTTGGGCCGCGTGACGGGCACCCCCAGATACAGCTCCGAGTCAGCTTGACATTGCTTATGTTTGTCTCCGGCTGTTTTTGGCTTACCCCCAGGACGCCGAACAGGATCCTTCAGACAGGCAACAGACCGCCGACACTCAGGTTCCGATGGTCCGAAGACGACCTACAGACGCACCCAGTACCGTTTCCGAGCGCTCCCAAACGCCCCAGGAGGCTCCGCAGAATTTTTAGACGTATCCCAAGTAAGCCCCAGACGTTTGAAGATGGCCCACGACGGCACAAGAGGGAGCCCCCCAGCTGACCCCGAGATGTCTATCCAGCTGCCTGCGCCGAGTCCCGCCACCATGCCAGCCCAGCATCCTGGATGGCGATTGTTCGAGGGGGCACAGGAGGCCGTCACGCGTGACACCTCGCGTCTACAGGCTTGGGAGAGCCGGGATCATGATGAGGAGGAGGAGGAGAAGAAGAGGAATGACGTTACATTTCGTCGTCGTCACTACGTGAGGGGTTTCCATGAAGCTCATTTGCACGGTGGCAGATGTCCGTTGATTCCCTGCGGGCTTTTGTCAGGGACATTTTCTTTGGACGTTTCCACAGACCATCGGGGATCCCTCCACGGGCCCGTCCCGCGCCACCATTTCGGGACCTCTCTGGCTGCGAGGGGCGATGAAGTGTCGGGCCAATTCGGGCGGTTTGGTTGAAGGGCCTTTTCGGATTTTCGTGGGGCACAATCGGCAGAGGGAGTGTTGCCGCGAGCTACAGGCCACAGGCCCTTGCACACACTGACAGAGCAGTACTTACTGGAACCCAGCGTGACGGCTCACAGCTTGAGATCCCCCCCCAGGAACCGGCGGACAGTAGTATGAATACAACGTAAGGCAGTATGTTGAGCAAACATATTGTGTGTCATGCTCCTGGTGTATCGAAGCGATGGGCCCACCTGGTGTACACGACAAATCGTTCGTGGCAGCAAGACCGCCTAATCTAAGCATGACCTGCTACGCAGATTAGAACATCTGAAGTTCAGTTATTCCGACTTTAGAGTGTCACGTCTAGGTATGTGTGTGCGTGTTGATATTGGTGGATGAATAATACGTTTGTTGAAAGCTACAGGCAGTTTCAGTAGCAGCAGTAGGCTACTCCGTAGCTGGTGTGATTGTAGCCGTAATGGTGGTAGTAGGTGCGATTGGCCGTGGCATCGGTAGCATTATTAGGCGCGTTTGTAGAGTTTTGGTTGTTTGATTCGTATTTTGAGTCGCACTAGCAGTAGTAGTGGCAGTGGAGTTGGCAGTGATGACAGGCACAGGAGCAATAGTTGCAGCAGTGGTATGGGACGCAGTATTGTGAGTAGTCGTAGCTTATGTGGCCGAAGAAGCAGTAGACGCAGCAATCGTTGCATGAGTTCTTAAGTGGCATAAGTGTTGTCAGACAGGTACAGCAGAAGGCTGATGCAGAGTAGCAGCGTCAACGTATCGTGTTTGACCGAATGTATAGCCGATTGACGTAATTGAGATACCGTCCAGGATGGCACCGCCGCAAAGGGCACCGCTTACAGTCCGCCTACCATCACCAACATCTTCAGAGGATACATGAAGGAGGCTTGGCGCGGGGCGGCTGGGACAGGGTCGGCCAGAGCAGCTCGCCCCTGCACGCAATGACGAAGTGCGCAGGCGTACTGACGCGTCGGTGCGCGCAGTCGGGAGACGCTGCGCGGGAGTTCGGGATGATGGCAACGACGCGCAGTGGCGAGCGTCTTCAGCCTAGGTTGGGCATTGCAGCGTCACCCAGTGGCTATCGCACGCGGTTCCGCTCGCGTGTTCGTTGCAGCAGGCCGTGGTCTGTAGAGTTTGCGATGGTGGACGTGTGCATCTGTAGTGCCGTGTATAGCTTTTTTGCATGTGCAGAGCGCGGAGTGGCGATTGGCGCACGGCTTGTGTCCTCTCTCTCTCCAACTCCCCATCTGTTTTCGTTTGTGGGCGCATCTGTGGAGTTCGGCAGTTGCTCCAAAAAGCGTAGACAGGCGGAGTCTGCGGAGGAGGACCGAGGATCTGCGGGGAGGGGGAGGGGGAGGGAGAGGAGCCGGACGAGCACGAGGATGATGGGGATCGGAGGAAGTCTGTTGTTTGATGGGCTTCTAGAGAAGAAGCAGTGGGGCATGGTGCCGCTATCAGAGGCTGGCGTCGATATCAAAGCCCAGGGCTACTGGAACGTCCGAAAGGAGGTGTGCACCGTCCACGCTGCGGGGAAGTGCACAATTGGAACAGACAGGGGGCATTGAGAGAGAGAAAGAAAGAGAGAGAGAGAGAGAGCGTGTGTGTATGTGTGCGAGAGAGATACGCGCAAAGGGAGCAAGGGTGATATGAGAGGTCGAAGCCTTGCTGGGGCATCGCCTAGGACAAGTTTGCCCAAAGTTCATCGCTTCCTGGGTTGACGTCAACTTGTTTTATCTGTGCACTTGTAGCGCATATAGCTCATTTAGCTCACGCACTCGCACCTCTCATTCACTGGCCAAGCGACCTATCGATGTACTGCGAGTTGTGGACGTCGCAGCGTGCCCGTACCAAAGCGGCTGGCCCGTACTGGAAGTCTCATCAGGAGGTGAGTCGTGGTTGTCTTAGAAGCCCGCCTATTTTCCAAGAAGCATCTTTGGGAGTTCTGGTCCCATGCGGAATGATTTGGACGACGGGGTGCAAGGTCAGCTTTTGATCAATAACTGGCTCCCTCCCCCCCTCTCCCATGGCTGGCAAATAAACTCCGTGGAGCTCGAAACTATTTTTTCTCACGCGCGCGGAGCTGATCGCTGGCGTCGACGAGGGGAGCGCGCGTCGTCCTACACGGCGGCCTTGAAGCTATTGTTTTCCACAGCTCCTCCTCCTCCCTCTCTCTCCTCCTCCTCCTCCTTCTGGAGGGAGTGCCAAATGGATCGCATAAGTCCGAGGCCGCCCTCGCACGGGCCCGCCTGGTCGCCCGCGGACCCGCGTCGCCCGCCCGTCGTCGACGCGGTGGCGGTGGTCGTCGCCGCCGTCGTCGTGGTCGTCGTGATCGGCGTCGTCGTCGTTGTCGTGATCCTCTCCGTCGCTGTCGCCGTCGTCGTCGTCGCCTGGATCCTGGTTCCGTCGTCGTCGTGATCGTTTCCGTCGTCGTGATCGTCTCCGTCGTCGTGGTCGTCATGATCGTCGTCGTGGTCGTCGTGATTGTCTCCGTCGTCGTCGCCGTCGCCGTCGTCGTCGTCGTCGCCTGGTTCATGTTTCCTGGTGGCTTGAGGTCCCTGTGGGTGCTGCTTCCCCCCCAGGGCCAGTCGGCCCAAAGGGGTGATCAGACTGATGCCAGGTGACCCCTGGAGCACCGCTCCAGGGGTCACCATCGATACCTGCAAGAAGAGTAGATGGGACAAAGACGGGCAGACGAGGAGAGGGAGGGAGGAGAGGCAAAGGAGGCCAAATCATGGTCGTCGCCTCCTCTTCCTCCTGCCCCCTCGAAGGGCACCTCCGCCGGCCCCCGCCGGGCTGCGGACCTCTCACCGAGCGGCCGTTGGGGCCTGTGCGCTGCCCCCGCCTGCCGGAGCGGCCCGCGAGAAGGCTGTCCCTTCCCACCATGTTTTCCTCTTCCACACACCCCTCCTCGTCCTCCTCCTCCTCCTCCTCCTCCTCGTCCTCCTCCTCCGCCTCCTCGTACTCGTCCTCCTCCCTCTCCCTCTCCTCCTCCTCCTCCTCCTCCTCCTCCTCCTCCTCCTCCTCCTCCTCCTCCTCCTCCTCCTCCTTCAGGCCTGACCTGCCTACAGGCCCACCAGAGAATGGTCTAAGACCCTCCTCCTCCTCCTCCTCCTCCTCCTCCTCCTCCTCCTCCTCCTTCTCCCCCTCCTCCCCCTCCCTCCTCCCTCCTCTCTCCTCTCTCCTCTCCTCTCTCCTCCTCCTCCTCCTCCTCCTCCTCCTCCCTCCCTCCCTCCCTCCCTCCCTCCCTCCCTCCCTCCCACCCTCCCTCCGTCCCTGCCTCCCTCCTCCCTCCTCCCTTTTCCTCCTCCTCCTCCTCTTTCTCCTCCTTCTCCTCCTCCTCCTCCTCCTCCTCCTCCTCCTCTCGGCGGCGAGCGAGGGGGGGAAGTAAGAAGAAGAAGACCTTCTCAGAAGGGTCGGAAGTCGCCCGACCTTCCGAGGAGTTGTTGTAAGCCTCCCCCGAAGGCAGAAGAAGCCTTCTCGGAAGGCGCGAGCAGAGGTCTGACTGCCAGTCTTTGCCAGGCCTGTGCCACGCGATGCCGTCGTGTTCTCCATCACGTTAGACTGTTTTGGGGCGCTTTGGTGCCGCCTTGCCTGGCCCTCGCGGCCCACCGCGGCCCGCTTCGTGCTTCGTGCAGCACTGATTACCAAGGGCTCCCACGAGGGCACGAAGTTATTCGCGCTTCGCGGTCCTCGTTCCTGCTCCCCTTCCTCCTCGTCCTCCTTTTCTCCCTGTGGGGGGGCGGCGCGAGAGCGCGAAGTTGTTCGCTCTTCGCGGAGAGCGAAGCGCGAAGTTGGGAGCCCTAGGAGTACGCAGCACATTGCAGGGGTCGACCTTAATGGTGCTTGGGCGATGTCTTGGGCCGTTTGCGCTTCGATGTCGTGTCGCACCGAGGGCGGATTGGAGACAGAACGCGGGAAGACAACAACGGAACGGCAGAAGACAACGCTGCTCAGGTCGAGCCTTGGCATACTGTTGGGTGTCACGGTTTTTGTTTGCTTGCTTGCTTGCTTGTTTGCTCCCGTCTCGTCGCCGGACATCCGACGATCTGATTTGTTCAGTGCGCGGCCCAAGATGTCCCGACCACTTCCTCAGGGCCAGTTTTTCGCCCTGAATCCACTGTTGATGGCCCAGGGGCCCGAAAATGGATCACAGAGGCCGAACTCGAGGAACAGTGCCCAGATTGAAATATCTTAGTCATCGTGGACCCCAAACCAGTGAGTTCTTGCAATCTATGCGATCCAATCTGGGTGGTGCAATCAATGTGGCGCAATCTAGGTGAGGCAATCCATGTGGTGCAATCTATGCGGTGCGAAGCAATGCAAATAAAGCAATGGAAAACAACGCGAAACAATGCAACGCAATGCAAAGCAATGGAACACACATTGCAAAGCAATGCAACGCAATGTAATACAAAGCTTTGCAAAGCAAAGCAACGCAATGCGATACGGCACGGAGCAAAGCAATGCAAAGCAAACTCATGCGATGCGAAGCAAGTCAAAAAGCAGGGCGATCTACAATGCAATGTGGGGGGGGGGTGCAGCAGGGCGGCAGCGACGGGCGGGGACCGGGCCGCCAGGGCGGGTTTTTTTCATGGCGCGGCGACGGACGGAGACGGGGCCGCCGTGGAGGAGGAGGAGGAGGAGGAGGAGGAGGAGGAGGAGGGGGAGGAGGGGGAGGAGGAGGAGGAGGAGGAGGACGAGGAGGAGGAGGAGGAGGAGGATGAGGGCGGTCATCGGCCACGCCGCCGAGACCGGAGGAGGACGATGGTGAAGGATGGGCCGCCGTGGCGGCAAGTGGGCCCAGTTCCTCAGAGGGCAAGTCAGACCCTCGTTTTAAGGTTTTCGGCCACAGCTCGGGCCTCTGGTGGCCGCGCGGGGCGATCCCGGGCACTCCCAGGACGCCCTCTCGGCGAGGCGTGGCCGCTGGAACACGCATCCCGAGGCTAGAAGTCAGCCAAGAGCTGACGAAAACGCTTGAGAACCTCGAGCCATGAACCCGAAACTTGCGATGTCTGTTCCTCGGAGCCTCTGCGGCGACATCGGCATTGGCCATCCCCTGTATTCGGACCGAATTCGGACTGCACGTGGCCCCTCCTCCTGCTCCTCGCCCCTCCTGTTCCTCCTCCCCCCCTTGCTCTTCTCGTCTCCCATGTGAAAGGACGAATCTGGCCCGGGTCCGGTCCCAAATGCGTTCCAAGTCAGGCCCAAGTCAGACAGCGCCGGGGGCCACGTAGGCTCCCATGGCTCCCGTGGAACAGGCGCCAAAGCCATGTCGCTTGGTTGGCTGAGGAGCCAACGAATTCGGCGAAGGAATTCTGTAGATAGACGCCCCAGCACCCTGCAGGGTTGGAAGCTGCGGCGTCTATGCAGCCGTCTCCCAGGTTGCGCCCCCGCACGCTTCCGGTCTCGCGATCCGGGTGTCACGTAGGCTCCCATGGAGCGGACGCCACGAAGAGATTCCCCGAAATTTCCTCGCTCGGGCCCGGCTTCGGGCTCTGGCCCAGGCTCGGGCCCAGGCTCGGGCCCAGGCTCGGGCTCGGGCTCGGGCTCGGGCTCGGGCCCAGGCTCGTGCTCGAGCTCAAACTTTTGGGCGTCGCGTAACGGGGGGGCGAGATAGTTCAGTGGGGGGGGGGCAGCGAGGGCGAGCCCTGAAAGGGGCCCTTTAGAACCCCAAAGAGAGCCTCTACTAGGGCCCAAAGGGGCCCTTTAGAACCCCAAAGGGGCCCTTTAGAACCCCAAAGGGGCCCTTTAGAACCCCAAAGGAGAAGTGCACATTTCTCCCTCCACATCCCGCCCCCCCCAAGCGACGCCTGCCTGGCACCCAGCCCGCCCAGGTGGCGCAGAAGCTGCAGGCGAAATCCGGCACCTGCGCCTCGGCGGCGTGCGCGGCGTGCCCGAGCTCCTCCTCGCGCAGCGCGCCGGCGCGCTCCTCGGGGGCGGGGGGGGGGGGAGCATTTTTCCACCTCCTCCTCCTCCTCCTCCTCCTCTCCTCCTCCTCCTCCTCCTCCTCCTCCTCCTCCTCCTCCTCCACCTCCTCCTCCTGCTCCTCCTCCTCCTCCTCCTCCTCGTCCTCCTCCTCCTCCTCCTCCTCTTCCATCTTCTCTCCTCTTTCTCCTCCTCCTCGATCCTCGTTCCTCCATCATCCTCTTTCCTTCAGCCTACTCATATCCCTCTTTCCCCCATCCTCCTCTTCCCTGTCTTTTCGCTGTAAGTGATATGCGTCTCCCCGTCGCACCCCGAGGCGTGTCGGTAGAGCGGGCCGCGCGTTTCGCTTGAGGCTTCCACAGCAGGCATGATGCTTAAGTTGAAATGTCGCCAGAGTTTGACGGGGGGGAGGGCGGGCCTCTCTCAAAGCATGCGGTTATCGCCTTAGCGCCACGGGCACTCGTTCAGAACATGTGCGAGAGCTTCGCGGATCGAAGGCGGGCCGTCTTCAGAATGTGCCCTTCGCCTCAGCACCGCGCGCGCTCGTCTTACAAAACTACAAGAGCTTCACGGCTGGAGGGCGGGGGCCGTTTTGAAAATGTGGTTCTCGCCTTCGCAGCGCGCACACTCGTTCTGGAACATTGTCGGAGCTTCACGGGTGGAGGGCAGCTCTTTGTCAAAATGTGGCCCTCGCTTCAGCGCCTCGCACGTTCGCCTCAAGAGTTCGCAACACTGTCAAGGATGTTCATGGCTTTCCAGAGGTGGTGTCCTGGTACGCTGCCAGGGCGCAACAATTACGTTGATTCGTGGAGTTGAAGCCCCAGGAATGGTCTTCTTGCGCAGTTCAGGATCATCGAGACGCAGCACTAACAGCGATTCGCGGTGTTGAAGTCCCAGGAATGGTGTTCTCGCACAGCTCAGGAGATTAATGCTGCTGTCTTCGATTAGGTACTTCCTTCGTGAGAACGAATGTTTGTAGGGGTTTGGTGTGAAGAGGGAACTTGGAGGGAGGGTTTATTGCAATATATCTATGGGTCTTGAGTCTACAGTGGTCTTCCTCATCCTCATCCACCTCCTCTATCCTCCCCTCCTTTATTATTATTCTCCTCCTCCTCCTCCTCCTCCTCCTCCTCCTCCATGCTTCCCTCCTGCTCATGTTGCTCCCTCTCTCCCCTCCTCCCCCCGACGTCCTCATCCGTCCTCGATCCTCCCCCCCTCTCGCAGCGCTCTGGCTCGCTTCTCGGGGGGGGGGGTCAGGGGCAACGTCAGGCTAGGGGCCAGGGGGGAGGAGCTCACAGGGGGACAGGTTCAGTGCGGGCAGAGGAGCAAAAGTTACCGAAACCGCTTCCCACTCTCGGTTGCCATGGCTGGATTCGCTTCGAAATCCGAGTCAGCAGTAATTAGGTATCGGTACCTCTTTGTTCCTTCGGGAGGGGGTGGGGGGCGGGACAACGCTAACGGCGGGGATAGGCGCAGGAGCCCCGGGCGTCCCCCGAGATCTCCAGGCGTTGCTTCCTCTGCTTCCTCTCGTGACACCAAGCGCTTTTGCGTTGTCTCGGGCCCCGGGGCCGTCACGAATCAATCCAGCTCGAAAAATGGCGCGGGGAGATGGGGCCGATCTAGGCCTCCCTGATGGGGTCCGAGTAGATGGGGTCGGAGGATCGCGCCGCATCGCCGATGCATCGCCGATGCATCATCGATGCATCGGCGACGTTGTCGATGCATCGGCGACGTCGACGTGGAGAAAGCCAGCCTTCACGTTGAGCCGCATCGCCGATGCATCGGCGATGTGGCGCGGTCCTCCGACCCCATCTACTCGGACCCCATCTGGGAGTCCCTAGTGCTCCAGTCGTGATTAATCGCGATGTTGCAACATGTTTTTCAACGTTGGCTCCCAGGTTCAAGAGGAGGGTGATGACTAGGGGAGATATCGTGGCGGCGCGCAGAGCGCGCCAGGGTCGGCGCCGGAGGCGCCGTCAGAGGGGGTCCAGCGCCGATCCGAGAAATCCGCGCAGACCTCCGAGTTTTTATCTTTTTGTCATTGTTCGCCCCCCTGCCATCACCTCTCCGTTTGGCCCCCTCCCTTGCAAGCAGGAGAAGAAGGAGGAGGAGGAGGAGCTGGAGGAGGAGGAGGAGGAGGAGGGATCGGCGCCATGAAGAAAGCGGGTCCTGAGGTGCTTCGCCGTTTTCGGGCTCTCGGCGCTCTCAACGGGCCGCGGGACTCTCAAAAAGCGAGGAAGAATTGGTCTTAGGGGGAAGGCGCCAGGGTCCAGGACTTGTTTCCCTCAGGACTTGTGTGCTTCATGGTCGGATCGGGGGCGTCCAAGAGGGGGGGAGGACTACGCGTGGGTGGATATCATGGCCGAGGCAATCAAGTCTCCCATATATCATGCCCCCCTTGTCTTCTCTCAAGACGTTCCCAGCCCCCCCCCCTCGTCCGCGCACATGCCATGTCTCTGATTATGATGCGCCTCCCCCTCTTCCCGGCCCCCCTCTCCGGCGCACCAGAAGGGATGGGTGACGAGGAGGAGGAGGATGAGGAGGAGGAGGAGGAGGGTGAGGAAGAGGACGAGGAGGAGGAGGAGCAAGAACAGGGGGAGGAGGAGCAAGAACAGGAGGAGGAGGAGCAGGAGGAGGAGGAGGAGGAGGAGGCGGGGGAGGAGGAGGAGGAGGAGGAGGAGGAGGAGGAGGAGGAGGAGGAGTTGGAGGAGGAGGAGGAGGAGGAAGAGGAGGAGGAGGAGGGAGAGGAGGAGGAGGAGGAGGAAGAGGAGGAGGAGGAGGAGAGCTATACGTTGGCAGATCAGCAGCAGTAGTGGGAGAGAAGGAGGAGAAGGAGCAATGGAGGACAGAGCTGCTTCGCACGCACCCACATGTACTGCAGCACGTGCGTTACTTAAACATCCAGGGTGCAAGAGCTCACTGCCCTGGCTCCACGCTGGCAAACATCTGGATGCGGATGTATCGCTCAACGCTTTTAAGGTTTTACCCGTTTCTGATCCATGGACTTCCCCTCTTTGTAAATACACGGTACTTGTTAAAAGGTAAGTTACATGCTACCACGAGTCGATCTTCACGAGCCTTGGGCTTAGCACGTAGACAGTCGATGAGATGGATGTCGTTCGCAAACTGTTGTTGTCGATATTCCTCTTTCGTTTCCTGTTCATCATTGTGAGTATCATCATTCTCGTCATCATCATCAGCGTCAACATCATCATCAACATCAGCATCGTCATCATCACAATCAGCAGGCTCATCAGCAGCAGCATTATTCGTCATCTTCATCGTCATCGCCATCATCACCATCAACAACACCCTCATCATCATCATCAGCATCATCAGCATCATCATCGGCATCGTCCTCGTCATTACCGGCGTCAGCATCGTCATCATCATTGCCATCACCATTACTTTCAGCATCATCATCAGGATCACCAGCATCAGCATCAGCGTCAGCAGCATCATCATCATCACTATCATCAGCATCATCGACATCGCCATCGTCATCGTCAAAAGCATCATCAGCATCATCAGCATCATCCTCATCATCATCATCCCCATCATCATCATCAGCCTCGTCACCATCATCATCATCATCATCAACATCATCATCATCATCGCAGTCGTCGTCATCGTAATCGATATCATCATCATCAGCATCGTCAACAGCACCATCGGTATCACCATCAACATCAGTATCATCATCAGGGCCATCAGTATCACTATTAGCATTATCATGTTCATCGTCAGTATCGTCATTATCATCATCATCATCATCAGCAGCAGCAGCAGCCACATAATATGCATCGTCTTCATCATGATCGTCGTCGTTTTGATCAACATCATCATCAGCATCATCATCAGCATTATCGATGCCATTCCTCCTTGCATCCATGTTTTCTGCCTGCGGCACCCTCATCGAATGCCTATTGACCTGCCAGGCACACTGTGCGAAGTGCGACGCTGCTGCCAAGGGCGAGTCTGTCAGCGGCCTGCGCCACTCGGTCGGCTGCGGTATGAGGCTGCCCAGAGCTCTCCTGGGCATAAAAGGGGAGGGCAGGCAGGCATATTCACAAGAGGGGATTGTCGCGCATTATTTAAATACGTTACCCTTGCGTTAGTGTTTGCTGTGTGTGTCAGTATTTCAGATGTCCATCACCAGGTCATGGCAATATCGCCCTTCCCGCCATCCCAGAGCATGTTGGACGGTGGATCGTTGGCTTGGAGTGTAATTGTCCAAGCCGCCTCACAATAAGTGTCGGTGGGACCGAGGTATGGGATCGAGGTCGGTTCGGGGAGGGTACCCTCGAATGCTCTTCCGTTTGGGCCAGTGGATGGTCTCATGTCTAGAAGGGTGTTATTATGTCCTGGGTCCGACCGTACCTCTGGCCACGCAGGATCTAGGAGAGGGTCTGGCGGTCGCACGGAGGTGCCACGGCGTGCTTCCCCGCCGACCCCCTCGAACAGAGCCCGAGCGGACGAGACGGAGCTCCCGCACTGTGTTTTTTCTGTAGGCTCGAGGTTCGCAATCTGAGAATGCGTTTTGCCCTACAGGTTCGAGGTGTTTGTTCCATAGGCTCGGGGTGTTTGTTCTGTAGGCTCGAGGTTTCTATAGGCTCCATAGGCTCGAGGCAGGAACTGCTTGCCCGAATCCGAAAGGGAATGGGGTCGAGGTTCACGTTGGGCGCGGAGACGAGGAGAAGAAAGGGAGGGTAAAAGGAGGACGTGGAGATAGCAGCAGTCCTGAACCGTCAATATTGCTCTTGGTGGGAATTTCCATGAAGAAAGGCGAAGTTCAAAGGTGTGACTTTGTTGCTGATCAGCTGTGCAATTCTTACCCCTGGCAGGTCAAGGGATGTGAGGATACGAAGTTAGGTTTTCAATAGAAGGATGCAGCAGACGCGTTTCCAGAGACGAAGCCAAGCACGGCCCCGTGTTAGTCGTCCGCCGATGTGCGATGCATTTCTTGTCGTCGGTGTATACATTGTTTACACCACGTAGTTCATTCCGCATAGCTTGTACTACGTAGCTCTTGAACAGCAGAGCTTACACCTCATATGCTTGCACCACATGCCTTGCACCACATAGCTTGCAACACATTGCTTGCATATTGTAGAGGCCTCTGGCTGGTACCGCCGATCCGGGACGATCCCGCTGTCAGAAGGACGCTTTCGCCCCAGCGCGCTTGTTTAGACGTAAGCGGTTTGGAAACATCTCGGAGGTATTGCGTGCGCTTCTTGAGGGGCCTCTACGACGCATCTTCGAGGACTCCTGGGGGGGCGTCTTGGAGGTGATTGTTGAGCCTCTTGGGGGCCTTTTAGGCTTCTTGGGGGGCATGCAGGCGGCATCCTGGAGGCCTCCTGGGAGTGTGTCGGAGGTAATTGTTAAGCCTTCGCGAGCGCTTTTGGGCGCCTTTGGGGGGCCTCTTGAGGGCCACTTGGAGCCTCTCGGTGTTTCTTGGGGACTCCTAGGGCCATTTTGGTGCCTCCTGGGCGCCTCTTGGGCCGTCTTGAGTCTTTCTGGGGCCGTCATGGAGCCCTCTTGGGCGCTTCTTGGGCCCGTCCTGGGGCCCGCTTGGGCTGCCTTGGGGGCCTCCCAGGCCGCCGTCTTGGGCCCTTTTTGGGCTGACTTGGGGCCCTCTTGAGAGCCTCTGGGCCCCTGTTTTGGGGGTCTCTTGGGCCGTGTTGGACCTTGCGAAAGCAGAAGAAGCGAAACTGCAGAACATGCGCGTTTCCCCAAGGGAATGGGACAGATTTTGCGTCTTCGGGCACTCTTAGGATGTGTCGGGAGGGTACGTTGGAGGCTTTGGGAGCCGTCTGGGGAACATCTTGAGCGTCTTGGAGCGATGTTTCGGCCACTCGGTGGCCTCTTGGGCCGTCTGGGCGGCCGCTGGGTTTTTTTCCCAACCATCCTGTGGTGTTGAGTCCTCGTTTTGAAGAAACGGTCCCCGCGTTCCTCCTCCTCCTCCTCCTCCTCCTCCTCCTTCTCCTCGCCCTCCTCCCTCCTGCGTTCGCATGCCTCCCCACCACCCATTTCGGCACACCCCTCGCACGCTTCGTGGCCCCATAGGCAGCTCTACCGAAGGCCCCAGTGGCAGGGTGCGCATGGAGTGTGGTTGGTTGAGGTGAGTGGGGGGCTGTTAGGTGGCATGTGGGGGATGGGGATGGGGGCACTCCCCTAGCACACCCATTTCGGCACACCCCTCGCACGCTTCGTGGCCCCATAGGCAGCTCTACCGAAGGCCCCAGTGGCAGGGTGCGCATGCCTCCCCACCACCCATTTCGGCACACCCCTCACACGTTTCGTGGCCCCATAGGGAGCTCCACCGAAGGCCCCAGTGGCTGCGTTCGCATGCCTCCCCACCACCCATTTCGGCACACCCCTCACACGTTTCGTGGCCCCATAGGGAGCTCCACCGAAGGCCCCAGTGGCTGCGTTCGCATGCTTCCCCACCACCCATTTCGGCACACCCCTCACACGTTTCGTGGCCCCATAGGGAGCTCCACCGAAGGCCCCAGTGGCTGCGTTCGCATGCCTCCCCACCACCCATTTCGGCACACCCCTCACACGTTTCGTGGCCCCATAGGGAGCTCCACCGAAGGCCCCAGTGGCTGCGCCCGCATGCCTCCCCCACCAACCCATTTCGGCTCACACTCTTCGTGGCCCCATAGTGAGCTCCACCGAGGCCCCAGTGGCTGCGTTCGCATGCCTCCCCACCACACATTCGGCACAACTCCCTCCAACGCTTACAGGGGGGGGGGGGGGGGGGGGGGTGGCCCCCATAGGAGCTCCACCGAATGCCCAGTTGCAGGGTGCGCTATGCTTCCCCACCACCATTTCGTCGGCACACCCTCACACGTTCGTGGCCCTATAGGTAGCTCCACCGAAGACCCAGTGGCTGCGTTCGGCATGCCTCCCCACCCATTTCGGCACACCCCTCACACGTTTCGTGGCCCCATAGGGAGCTCCACCGAAGGCCCCAGTGCCTGCGTTCGCATGCCTCCCCACCACCCATTTCGGCACACCCCTCACACGTTTCGTGGCCCCATAGGGAGCTCCACCGAAGACCCCAGTGGCTGCGTTCGCATGCCTCCCCACCTCCCATTTCGGCACACCCCTCATACGCTTCGTGGCCCCATAGGGAGCTCCACCGAAGGCCCCAGTGGCTCCCCACCACCCATTTCGGCACACCCCTCACACGTTTCGTGGCCCCATAGGGAGCTCCACCGAAGGCCCCGGTGGCTGCGTCCGCATGCCTCCCCACCACCCATTTCGGCACACCCCTCACACGCTTCGTGGCCCCATAGGCAGCTCCACCGAAGGCCCCAGCGGCAGGGTGCGCATGCCTCCCCACCACCCATTTCGGCACACCCCTCACACGTTCCGTGGCCCCATAGGGAGTTCCACCCAAGGCCCCAGTGGCTTCGTTCGCATGCCTCCTCACCACCCATTCCGGAACACCCCTCACACGTTTCGTGGCCCTATAGGGAGCTCCACCGAAGGCCCCAGTGGCTGCGTTCGCATGCCTCCCCACCACCCATTTCGGCACACCCCTCACACGCTTCGTGGCCCCATAGGGAGCTCCACCGAAGGCCCAAGTGGCAGGGTTCGCATGCTTCCCCACCACCCATTTCGGCACACCCCTCACACGTTTCGTGGCCCCATAGGGAGCTCCACCGAAGGCCCCAGTGGCAGGGTTCGCATGCCTCCCCACCACCCATCTCGGCACTCCCCAACACCCATTTCGGCACACCCCTCACACGCTTCGTGGCCCCATAGGGATCTCCACCGAAGGTCGGGGGGAGCTTGACACTGGTATCCTTGCGGTACTCGCAGCTGCATATGGTTGGGTCCTTCGCCAGGCTAATTTATGAGCTCGCGTTCGAGCCCTCAGGGGCGAGGGGCCGACCCGAAGTGAGCTGGAGCTCCGATTTGGCCACCAAAATTGACTCGGACCCCCCCCCCCCCCTTCTCCAGCAGAGCCACCCCGGCACCCACCCCCCCAGCTGAGTTGAAGCTCAAGAACTGAGGCTCAGGCTACATCTGAGGGTCTTTGAAACTCACACGCCAGATCGGCGGATTTAACACCGCATAGCCTAGACTACGCAGTTCGAGCAACCTCCTTTATACCACAGGTTATACAGCATTGCTTGCGTAACATAGCTTACACCAACACCATAGGTGGGTACATCACATCGATTCAAATCTTCAGCTTGCACCACGTAGTTTACAAAATATCGCATTCACCTCCTAGCTTTCACCAGATAGCTAACATCACATAGATTGCGCCACGTGGGTTGCACCACATCGCTTGTTCATCCAGGATACAAGACGTTACTGTGTGGGTCCCACTTTGGCAAACACGTTTTATTTACAACACTGGTCCAAGAAGCAGCACAGACTCATACACGTGCTCGTCGATACGAGAGGAGACTTTTCGCAGCCGGTTGGCCCCACATGAGTTGCAGATAGTTCGCAGTAACACACGTCGACATCTGGGAGAAGACAAGGTAAGGAGTCGCAGGCGAAGGGTTTCAGGTCATTGCTTGCGCGGCCACTTCGGCGCAAAACAGCGTTTGCCACGAGTCCGTTTCCACCTCCGCGTGCCCACCCATATGTTGCCGAGAAGAATGCTCCTCCTCCTCCTCCTCCTCTTCCTCCTCTTCCTCCTCCTCTTCCTCCTCCTCCTCAGTTGGGAGCGGTATGCAGCGTCCTCTGAGCCTCCGTCCTGCGGTTCCCAGAGACGGCACGGCACCAAGTGAGCTTTCACGCTTTTGTTCTGCTTCGCCGAACGCCGAGGCAGGACGAGCCGACGCAGAACGCCGAGGTTCGGGCTGCCGTTCCTTTGCTTCAGGGGACCACTTCTCGAGGTTTGGATTCATCCATACCCGCCGCCTGGCGGAGCCATCTTCGGGGCTGGATACAGCCGGGCCCCTTGGTGCCAAAATAGACCCATATCCACCAGCCGCTGGGGCCCCAAAACGTCGGTCCCCGAAGCGATGGTTATGGATAAACTCCCGCCTCGCACACGTTCACCCATCCTCATTTCCCTGCTCCATGTTCGCTCCCCCCCCCACACGTGGTCGCATTGTCAGAGAAGACCTCCGAGCGGTGTGCAGGACTTGTTCGCGTATTGCCTTCAGAAGTCATGGTTCGCTTGTGGTTTTGAGCAGTGTTTGTGGTTTTGATACATGGTATCATGAAGATTGCAAGGGGATCAGTGCTTGCGGCTGTATGCGTGATTGCAGCCGTGGTTGCAATCGTGATTGTAGTCGAGACTGTAGCCGTGCATAGGTCAAATTCTCATCGGAATCTTGAATTTAGAATTCCGGGCGTGTTGTCGCGGATAGGCCGGTACACCCAGTCAGGCTTGCCAGATTTCATTGTTTTGCTTTAGGTCTGCTTCACATTCCTGTTGAATCATCGTGTGCGCTCCCATCTTCTCCCTCCAACAGAAAAAAGCTTGTGGTTCTGAGCAGTCATGGTTGATTGCCTTCGCGCGAGGGTCTGGGTGCAGAGCGCCGATCATCTGATGCACGCCTCCCTCCTTTGGCCTCGGGGCATGACTCGGTTGGGGGCAGAGCAGGGCGTCGGTCGGTACCGCCGCACTTCGGTTCGATCGAGTCGGGTAAGGAAAGAATGGGCACGAATAGTCCGCGTATTCCTGTACACCCGACGAGAAAGTCAATTCTGAGGCAAATCAGTTCTGCAGTCGATCTCTTTCTCGAGCTTTCGGAACACGGCTGTAGGTCTCCGGCGGCCGCTCGGGACCAGCCGGGAGCGCCCAGAGCGCTCCCGGCGGCGAGCCGAGGAGTCGGGACGCTCGAAATGGGTACGAAAAGCACAGATACGAAGACCGACAGCATTCCCTGCTCATCAAGGGCGCCCTCGAGGGCGCGAAGTTATTCGCGCTTCGCGCTTCGCGGTTCGGCTCCGATTCCCCCTCATCCTCCTCTCTTCCCCTGGGAGGCGGCGCGAGAGCGCGAAGTTATTCGCACTTCGCACTTCGCGCAGCGCGAAGCGCGAAGTTGGGAGCCCTTGCTCATCATGAACAGGACTCGCTGGAGGTGTCGCCGCGGACGTTGTCCATGTGAGACAGAAGGCCGCCGGCCCAAAAAAGCAGCCGCTGCCGGTCTGGGACTGCAGGTGTTGTTGGGCTCCGTGCGCATTTTTGTTCCATGCCCCCACTCGGGCGTGCAAAGTTCTGAAGCCGTCGGCGAGGTCCAGGTGAGCCCCGAGGGAAACACGGGTTGACTTGCGCCGACATTCGCGCGTAAGTTTCCCGCGTGAGGTCGCGCGTGAGCGTCCTCGGTTCCAGTGTGGCGTAATTACCGCGCTGGCGGCACGCGTGCAAAAAGGAGCTCTCGACCGCAAGAGACCTTCCACAAGGATCCCAACCCTGAACCTCCAGGATGTCCATTGATCTTGGGTACACCTTAGGCGATGCTTAAGAAAACCTAAGTTTTCGGCCAGAGGCTCGATTTTTCTTAATGTTTCAATGCAAATCCTAAGATTTGAATCGACATTCTGGGTTTTTATTCAAGCTCCTAGACTATGAATTTCTTAACCCATGATTTCTAAAGCATTTCGCAGGGTGTATGGGAACGTCACGTTCTCCATAGCAAATGGTCGGAGCCAAAACAGACTCGTGGCACCCTGGAGGCAAGCAGGGTGTTTCTTTGCATGGGCTTCCACTGCGAGCCGCCGCGTAAGGTTGCTAATGTTATCCTGCGTGAGGCCCGCTTCTTGTTGTCGCTCCAGTAGCAGAGCCGACGCCGTCGTCGTGCCTCAGTGATCGGTTTAACCGATCCCCATCCCCATCCCGATCCCCACCATCTCACCACCCCAGTTGGGGATCCACCACTCGAAGTCCGAAGGAAGCAGTCTATATATATATATATATATATATATATCCCCTATCTAGGGGGCTAACCTGGCCAGTGGGGCCCAGGCCACACCAGTGGGGATGGGGATCCACGAAACAATGCTCAAGAGCGTCCCAGGCGAGGCTAACAGACTCTATAGGCCTCCTGGAGGGGGTCCGAGTAGATGGGGTCGACAGATCGCGCCGCATCGCCGATACATCACCGATGCACCGGCGACGTCTGCGATGCATCGACGACGTATGGTCCCCCGAGGCCTGGGAGGCTCGCCGTCGTCGAGGACCAATTCGGATGGCTTGGCTGGAGGCACTCGCTGGAAAGACCCCGTTATCCCGAATCTTGTGGGCCTCTGAACTTGGGCCCGCTCCCACAGCGTCGTGGGGCCCAGGAGCTGCCAATCGCCCGAGCTCCTCCCCGAGGGCCGGGGTCCTCGAGAGCGAGGTCTTCCCCGAGGGCCGGGGTCCTCGTTCTGGGGCCCAGGAGCTGCCCATCGCCCGAGGTCTTCCCCGAGAGGAGCGGGGCCCTCGGAGGCTCGAGGAGCGAGAGGCCCTCGAGCCGTCGGTGGCCTCCGAGGGGGCCGAAAGGAGATCCCGACGGCCGCGCCCCAGAGCCGTAGCGAAAAAGGGTCGGGGAGTCGGGTGCGGCCAGGGAGGGGGTGATGACAATCGGGCCGGACGAAAGGGGGGGACAGGCCCAGACCCCCTCGAGTTATGAAAAAATCACGACGGGAGGTTTCTCACTATTTTTGGCTTTTGGGGGCCCTTACCGGCCCTCGGGACCGTCAAAAAACGACTCAGGACGAAAAACCGGTCCCGGGGAATGGGTCGAGACCTCGGGGGGTCGACGTCATGAAAAAATCATGACGTCGGGGGTCTGGGGGGGAAGGGGGGGCTACGAAAGTTGCTGCATGCAGCTGGTTCCGGCCCCACCGAGGGGCCCATTCCTCGATGCATGGCCGCCTCCGGCGCCGGGAAAATCAGCTACGTGAGCTGAGTCTCACCCGCCCCCCCCTTTGCGATCCCCCCCTTTCGCCCGACCCGAGACAAGGGGGGGAGAGAGATCCTGGCCAGGGCCGCGACATCTCCCGGGTTCCGTGGCCCCTCGCCTGCATTCCACACGCCCCCCCCCCCCCGGGGCCGCGCATACGTGCCGCCGGCCAGGATTGGCGCCTCCCCCTCGTTGACGCGCCCAGTTTCTCGGACGCCCCCGCGTTCACCGACGCTCCGCGTGCGTGCCCCGTCGCGGGGACTCATCCTCGCATCAGCCTCCCGAAGACTCGTTTTGCTTGTGTTCGTCGGGCCTGTCCCTCTACAGGGGGAATATTCAAAACTAGTGAAACAAATAGTCAGGGGACAATTTTTTTAGTATTTTTTGACCATGTTGTATCAATTTGGGGGTATCTTCAATTTTTCGTCGAAAATCCGCCGGTAGGGGGACACGCCCGACTTCACCGACGCTCCGTGGCGCCGCCGCCGCCGTGCCCTCCTCCGCCGCACGGGCCCCGCACGGGCGGTGCGGAGGGCCGGCGCGCCCCTCCGCCCGAGAGGGCCCCGAGCGCCTGGGCGATCTGGCCGCCGCCCCCCGGCGGCGGCCCCGCGGCGCGGGGGGCTGCTCGCCGCCAGGGCCGGAGGCGCCTCGGAGGTCTTCCTGGGCGTCGCGTCATGCTCACGACGCGACGCCCAGAGGGGCTGTCGAGGCGAGGGTCTTTGAGGCGTCGGCCCCCCCCCCCCCTTGCCCAGGATGAGGGGGGGGGCCGGGGGCTGCAGAGAACAGGGTCCCTTCTGGGGGCCAAGCAGGGGGGCCCTTCAGGGCCCGAGAGGTGCACCTTTCAACCCCCCCCTTCCATTCATCGTCTCCTCTCCTCCTCCTCCTCCTCCTCCTCCCTCTCCTCCTCCGCTCCTCCTCCTCTCCTCCTCCTCCTCCTCTCCTCCTCCTCCTCTCCTCCTCCTCCTCCTCCTCCCTCCTCCTCCTCCTCCTTCCTCTCCTCCTCCTCCTCCTCCCCTCCTCCTCCTCTCCTCCTCCTCCCTCCTCCTCCTCCTCCTCCTCCTCCTCCTCCTCCTCCTCTCCCCTATCCTCCTCCTCCTCCTCCTCCTCCTCCTCCTCTCCCTCCCTCTCCTCCTCCTCCTCCTCCTCCCTCCTCCTCCTCCTCCTCCTCCCTCCTATCCTCCTCCTCCTCCTCCTCCTTCTCCTCGTCCTCCTCCTCCTCCTCCTCCTCCTCCTCCTCCTCCTCCTCCTCCTCCTCCTCCTCCTCCTCCTCCCTATCCTCCTCCTTCCTCCTCCTATCCTCCTCCTCCTCCTCCTCTCCTCCTCCTCCTCTCCTCCTCCTCCTCCTCCTCCTCCCTCCTCCTCCTCCTCCTCCTCCTCCTCCTCCTCCTCCTCCTATCCTCCTCCTCCTCCTCCTCCTCCTCCTCCTCCTCCTCCTCCTTCTCCTCCTCCTCCTCCTCCATCTCCGCCTCCTCGCGTCCTCCCCCTCCGCCCCCTCACCCCCCCACGCGAAGCGACGCCCAAAGTCTGGCCACGGCTGGATCCGCCTGCTTGCCAGAGCTCGGCCGGTGGCGATAGTTTGGGGGGAAGTGAGGAGGGGCTCGACCTGCACGGTGTTTTGGCGATGTCGTGGGCTGTTTTCGCTTCGATCTCGTTCTGCGGCGCAAGGCGGGGCGAAGACGGAGCGGGGGAAAGCAAAACCAAAAGACGAGAACGGAGAGCACCGTTTGGGTCGAGCCCTGCGTGGCCATGGGATTCGCCTCGGAATTCTGGCCAGAGCGCATCCCTGGCCTTGTGGCGCGATGTCCGACCCCGAGCCGGCGGAGGGTCGAGGAGGATCGAGGAGGAGGCGGAGGAGGAGGAGGAGGACGACGACGAGCTAGCGCAACCATCTCCGATCCATGTCTGGGCAACGTCAAAACAAAAGAAGGAAGAGCAGGGCGAGGAGCTCGAGGGGCGAGGAGAGCGAGGCGCGAGGGGCGGAGGATGAAAAGGGCCCGGGAGCAGGGGGCGCGGGGGCGAGGAGCAGGGAGGCGAGGCGGAGGCACGGGGAGGCTCGGGGAGGGGGTGCCGGGCAGGAGCAGGCTGGGGCCCGAGCTGGAGGAGCCCAGCGCTGGTTTTAAGTCGGCTCGTCCCTCTGCAGGGGGAATGTTCAAAAATAGTCCAAAAATAGTTAGGGGACTATTTTTTTGGTTTTTTTTTACCATGTTGGAGTATTCTTGGGGTATTTTTATAATTTTCCTCCAAAATCCCCCTGTAGGGGGACAGGCCCGACCTAACGCTGGTTCCGCCCAGCAGGACCCAGAGATCCGACGCGTCCCCCAAAAAATTGGAGCCGGCTGTGCTTGGCTGTTTTTGCTCAGCCTCCGCGGGCCTTCGCTGGGTCTCGGGCCCGTCCAAAGACAACTCGGGAATGGGGAAAGTGTTTGGCTGCTTTCGGCCTCCGGGAGCCCTCGCTGGGCCTTGGGCCCGTCCAAAAACGACTCGGGACCGTGTTTGGCTGTTTTCGGCCTCCGGGAGCCCTCCCCGGGCCCCGGGGCTGTCCACGAAACGACTCGGGACGAAAACTTGCCATGGGGAAGTGGTCCAGTTCCAGGGCCCACGAAAAAAATCGGAGCAGCCGGATGTCTGGGGAAGGGCGGGCATAGCCGGTTTCGGAGCTGTGCTTTGCGTCTCTTCGGCCTCCGGGGAGCCGTCTTCGGGCCCCGCGGGGCTCCGAGAAGCGGATCCAGAACTGAAGTTTCTGCCTTGGACGGGCCCCGATGTTGTGCGGATTTGGCCCACCCCCTCCTGCTGACAGAGTTTCTGGGGACCCAGCCAGGTCAGAACCCCGCGGCCACCTGCAAAACCGAGCCTTGGGGTTGGTTTGGGAGGTCGCCGCGGTTGCTCGCGGCGGCCGCAGAGCGGGCAAGGCTTCTGTCAAGGAGCGGCGTGCCCCCTCCGCTCTGCGATGTGGACGTGGCTCACAGGTCACGATCTGTAATTGCAGTCGTGGCGCTGAAATGCTCGCCGAGCGCTTTCCACTACTCGCAAAAGTGCCCACTCGCAAACTCCGAACAAAACATGTGCTCACCTCGAGGCAATATGCCGTAGATCCTCCATCGGTGGATCGAGGCCATCTGCGAGCAGCTGCTCTGCGAGCAGTGGAGCGCGCGCGTGTCTGGATACGGTCCTGTTCGGGCGCCGAGCTGAGGTCCAGCTCGGGTTTGGATCAGGAGGGGAAAAAACATACAGCCACAAGGAAAATATGGGAAGTGGGGGGGAAGACAAAATCCCGCGAAAATAGCGGAAAATATGGGGAATCCTCCTGTTTGTGTGTGTACTTGTGTGTTTGCCCCAGGGCCCCTGCAGGAACGGGGCCGCGTGCGCTCCTCTCGCAGGTGTGCCAGGGAGCCCCCCTCCGGCGCTCCTCGGGAGGGGCGAGGGGCCCCCTCGAAGCGAGAGGCGACGACGACGGAGCGCCCCCCAGGAAGCGGCCTTCCCTGGGGCGTCGCGGCCGCGCCCCCGGCCTCCAAGGGAGCTGCCCAGGTGGCCCGCGCCTGGGCGGCGCCATGCCTCGGCTGCGGAGCGTGGCCCCCCCGATGGTCGGACACTGGAACCTGTACATTACCAGCGGCGGGCAGTCTTTCAGCCCCAGGACCTTGTTGAGGGTCGGGGGCGACGTCGGGGTGGTGTGGTGTACACTTGTTTCCCCGTTCTCCCGGGGAAGCAACGCAAGGTGTATACACCAGGATACCGTATACACCAGAATCCGCGTTCCTGTGCGATGTTCAGAGCAGGGTCGGGAAAAGCGTCGGTGTATGGAGTTCGTTTGCCTAGATGGAGCGCCCCCGAAGAAGGGCTCGGCCGTTCCCGAAAGCTGCACGACTTGAGATTCGAATCAAGTGTCAGGGGCAACGACAGGGGGGGATGGGCACAGGGGGGGATGCATCGACCCCCAATCGTCCATGCATCGCCGACAGGGACCCGGTGGCCCCAGCCCGCCCAGGGACGTGAGGATTTGCTGTCGGGGGCCTATCTCCGATCAATCGGCGATGTGTCGACGATTCCAGGTCGGTGTTTCCCCCCCACCCCCCCATGTGCCAGTCCCCTCCGATCGTTGCCCCTCAAAGGTCGCTTGGATGCCGGGGGCGTCGGCAGACGCCGCCCCGTCCCGCTGCGCTGCCAATTCGACGGCGGGGGCGGAGGTGGCTCTGGCACTCTGGCCTACGACCGCCGTGCATACGCGGGCCTCGCTGCCGCGCGCCCTCTCGCTGGAGGGCGCGGAGGCTCCGGTGTCTGTCGCATCACGTCAAGCAGAGTAGCAAGCGCAACCGTCGCGCGCCAAGGCCCGCTCACGCGCTGGACCGCTCCTTCTGGTTTTTGGCAGTGCCACTGCTGCAGCGGCAGGAAGCTGCCAACTGCTGTCCAACACGGGCAGCCAACGGTCTTTGTTGGGTCAGGGGTCGATCACTGCGCACCCAGGGTTTGCCCGGCCGAGGAGCTCAGCCGCGAGAGGCTGGGGCTGCTGGACGCCGGGGAGCTGCGGGAGCTCTGCAAGGCTGGCGGGGGGGGCAGCCGAAGAGGTCTGTCTGTGTGTGCGTCTGTGTGTGTGTGTGTGTGTCTGAATGTCTGTCTAACCTCATGCCCGTGAGAATAAACACTAGGGGATAATAAAGTTCGGGGTTCAGGGAGAGATAATAAAAGTAGCCCAGCAGACCTCAGCATAATCTCGAAGTAAGAGATGATCAAGAGGAGACCAAGCCGAGCACGTTTTGAGACATCCTTGGCGTTTAGTTTTCATAGAGATATCCTCAACAATGGCTTATCTCTCATGAAAATTGTTTTTTGTAAGTGCTCGTGTAGGGTAGCTCATGTGCCTCAATCTCCATGGATAATCAACCCCAGAGATAAACAAGTTCAGGCGAGCGTGGGGACAGAGAGAAACATAACATAAGAAGAATACAATAGAAGAATAATAAGAAAGAAGAAGAAGAGGAGAATAAGAAGAGGACGAAGAAAGGAAAAATCCAAAGTTCCAAATCTATCAATTTTAATTTACAAACGCTTTATGAACATTGATTTTTTAAGTGCTCCTGTAGGGTAGCTCATGTGCTTCATTTGCCATGGATAATCAACCCCAGGGATAAAAAAGTTCAGGCGAGCGTGAGGACAGATAGAAATATAAAAGAAGAAGAGGAAAGTAGAATAATAATAAGAACATTGCTCGTTTCGTTTGAGCCTGCCTCCCAAAATTATTGGTTTCGCTTGACACATCCTGAAAAAGTGTGATCGCTTCGCTTGATGTTGCTATAACAACATCGCTTGATGTTGCTATCTCAACATAGCGTTTCGAGGTGATAATGAAGTTCGGTGTCTGTCGGTCTGTCTGTCGGTCTGTCTGTGTGTCGGTGTGTCTGTGTGTGGTCGTTTTGGGTTCGCCGCGCCAGCACACCCAGGTGAGAACTCTTCCACCTCCGAGTGGCCTTTTCTCCCCACCCCCCCGGCCGCCCCCTGTGCCCCCTTCCCACTCTTGCACACTGGCCAATTCGCTTCTCGGTGCCCCCGTTTAGCTTTATCGCTGGTGAAGCCAACACTCTGCCTTGCCGCCCGCGGAAAACGTGTGTGTGTGTGTGGTCTGGGCGTCGCGAAATGGGAGAGCGGTGAATGAGCGACGCAATAAGATGGGGTCGTTTGCGCCGGCAGTCGCGCGCAAGCTCCCCGCGCAAGGTCGCTCGCAAGCGCCCTCGTTTCCACTGTGGTGTGCTCGATGGCGGCCCGCGCAATGTCAGCTCGTGATTAACAAAAGGCCCCCCCGGGGCTGATGAATAGAACCCGCGGGGCGCAATAGTTGTTAATCACGCGCGCCAGGGGGAAGGAGGAGAGAGGAGGGGGAGGGGGGAAAAGGAAAAGGAGGGGCCAGGAGGAGGGGCCAGGAGGGGCAAAAGGTTAAGGAAGACGGGCCCGCTTTGCCACGCATCGCCGCGCCTTGCGGCGCCTTGCCGTGCCACGCCTCGACTTTCGGCGCCAGGGGGCGCTCGGAAAAACGGCGATATATAAGGTGCTTAGCACATCCCCTCCCCTTTGTGCTGCGTCCCACGTTCGCCCAGCCCGCCTTGCCCGCAGGCCCGCATCGGTTCGACATAAAAAGGGGCGCCCTGGTTCGCCTTTGCGTCCCCCCCCCCTTGCCCCTCGTGGGCGGCCGGGCATCAGCGCTAAGCACCGGCGCCGCCCCGTTGATGTTCAATCTGGCGGGCGCCACCCCGCGATTCGTCCGAGCAGGGGAACTATTTGTTTAAAGGCGCGCTCCCAAAGGATTTGTTAATCACAAGCTGACATTAAGCCACCGCGTGAGACCCATTTCTGAACGTCGGTCGAATTTGGGCGGCAGCGAGGGCTGCAGGAAACGGGCCTTTTCGAGCTCCCCCCCAAAAAATCAGGGCCCAAAAGGGGGCCTTCACGGGCCCTCAGAAGTGCACCTTTTTTCGCTCCCCCCCTGGTTAACCGCTCCCCCGCTAAGTGACGTCCAAGCGTGGACCGTCATGAGAGCCCCAGAGCCAAGACCCCCTCGCGTCATGAAACAAAATCTCGAGGGAAAGTTTTTCGCCATGTTTTTCTTTTGGGGGCCGTGGTCGCGTTCTAGGACCGTTGACAACGACTGCAAATGAAAAGCCGGTCCCAAGGCGACGTGAAGAAGAAAGCATGACGTCGGGGGTCTTGGTCATGTGAGCCCCGGAGAGTCCCAGAAGTTTTTGCGGTTGGGAGGGATTTCGTCCAGGTTTTTTCGGACATGATCGGCATATGGACGAGACATGGACGAACGGGCGAAGAGGGGTGGTCAGAGGTTGGGCGAATTCAAGCCGATACCATTTTATGATAGGGCCGCGGAAGTCCACAAAAGTCCCAATGAAGGCTCACCCGAGGGGTGGGGCGCAGATGATCGGCGTTTCAATGTCCCGCTTCTTCACGTTGCAATAGAAAGTACGTCGGCGGGGTTTTGGCCAGTTTCGGTGCGTAACGTTAAAGGTGGAACACCTGGATTTCCAACGTCGACTGTTTGTTCACAGCGTCGATTCCCAGAGGTCTACATTCCTTCCCCGGGCCCGTGCTTTTCGCCCCGAGTCGTTTATATGGACGGCCCCAGGGCGCGGTGAGGGTCCGCGGATGCCGAAAGTTGCCAAACATTTCCCTTCGTGAAAAGGTGGGGACCCCCCACGCCTCGACGAGAAAATCAATTCCGGGGTAAATCAACTGCACCCCTCCTCCACCCTTAGACAAAATGAGCGACGCGACAAGACGGAGCCGCCTCCGCCGACATGGGCGCGTAAGCTGCCCGCGTAAGGTCGCGCGCGAGCGCCCTCGCCTCCAATGCAGCGTTCTGCGCCGGTGGCTTGCGTGGGCCACCGCACAAGGTCGTTACGCCACCTTGCGCAAGACCCGTTTCTGATCGTCGCTCAGTTGCCGAAGCCCAGAACCAGCAAACGTTAACCAAGGTTTGGCCGCGTAGTAGCTCCCAAACCCCAGACCGCGGAGGGCGGACCAGGGGAATCGGCCCCACACCCGCCTCCCAAGCCCGGGTCGGCAAGAGGGGACTGGCTGATCCGCGTTGGCGCTGAACCTCGGTTGCGTGAGTTCGTTCTCCTTCTCCTCCTCCTCCTCCTCCTCCTCCTCCTCCTCCTCCTCCTCCTCCTCCTCCTCCTCCTCCTCCTCCTCCTCCTCCTCCTTCCCGGCCCCCTCCCCTGGCCCTTTTCCCCGGAGATCGCTCTGCTATATGCCTGGGCCTCCCAGATGGGGCCGGAGCAGCTGGGGTCGGAGAATCGCGCAGCATCGCCGGTGCATCGACGGTGCGGCTCGATTTGGGCGTTGCGTAATGGAGGGGTCATAAATGGGGGGGTGGCGAGGGTGGTCCGAAAAGGTACCCAAACGGTACCTAAACGAGCCCCCTGGGGGTCCGGAGGGGCCCGAAAGGGGCACGAAAGGGGACCGTTTCTGACCCCCCCATTTATGACCCCCCCATGAAGCCACGCCCAATCGATGCGGACCCCGAGTTGCTTCACGGCGACGTCGCCGATGCATCGCCGGCGTTCGCCGGGCCCCCGCACCGGCCGCGGCAGGCTCGCGGGCTGGACCACACGGGCAGGACGCTCGCGGCGCCCGCGCCCCGAGGGGAGGCGGGTCGTCGTCGTCGTCGTCGTCGTCGTCGTCGGAGTCGGAGTCGGAGTAGGAGGAGGAGGAGGAGGAGGGAGAGGAGGAGGAGGACGAGGAGGAGGAGGAGAGAGGAGAGGAGAAGTGGAGGTGGAGGTGGAGGAGGAGGAGGGCAAGGAAAAAGAAAAACGTCAGAGGAGGAGGGGGAGAAGGACGTCGGAGGAGGAGAGGAGCAGGAGGAGGAGAGGAGACGAGGAGGAGGGGAGGGGGAGGGAGGGGGAGGAGGGGAGCGGGATGGGGAGCGGAAGGGAGGAGGAGAGGAGGAGAGGAGGACAAGAGAGGAGGAGGAGGGAGAGGAGGAGGAGAGGAGGAGGAGGAGGAGGAGGAGGAGGACGAGGAGGAGGAGGAGGAGGAGGAGGAGGAGGAGGACGAGAAGGAGAACGAGGAGGAGGAGAAGAAGGACGTCGGAGGAGGAGGAGGAGGAGAAGGGGGAGGATGACGGAGGAGAAGGGGTAGGGGGAGGGCAAGGAGCTGCGATGCTCCCGACGCCTCGCGACGCCGCCTGTCCCCTCGCGCGCGGGGGGGGGGGTCGTGCCGCGCGAGAGATCTGATCCTCGGAGGTCCCCCCCTGCCCCCGAAGGGCCAAAGGAAGGCTGCGCAGCCGGGGGTGGAGAGAGCTCCAGAAATCCCCCCCCCCCTATGCAGGTAGAGCCTCGGAAGAGCGTCGGAGCTCCCCCAGGGCTTCCAGAATCCTCCTGGGGCGGGTGGCCCGGGGGGACGGGGCCTTGGCTGGGAGAGCTTCGGAGCCTCCACCCGCTCAAAAGAACATTCGGGCTAACAAAAAAGGCGGTTCAGGACACCCTTCCTCGACAATTGGTGGCAAGAGGGTCAGTGCAGACAGCACGTTGGCCAGATACGGGTCCCAGGTGATTGATAAAGCGCATCGCCGTGGGGTGACTATTCCGCAGTTTGGCGGTCGGGCGTTTGGTTTACAATCTGTAGAATCTCACGGTGAAGCCCATGGCCACCAGGCGCTTGGATCACATCTCTATGACAGGCCCCTGCTGTATCCATCGAGACCTGAAGTTTCCAGCCAACACGGGATACTGTGATAGGGGGGGGTCGCGAGCTTATGCACATGCAATGATCCGTAATTAAGGGCTTCGCCCCCTGCCGCTGGCCTCCCCTCTCGGATAATGGGGCGTGCAAGAGCTATGTTGTGAGGCCTGGGCGCCGTCGTGAAGCAGCGTCGGAACTCCGAACGGGGGCCACTGGAGATATGAGCGTGCCAACATCCATCAGATATCTAAGTAACATCGCAGAGGTTGGCCTCTGGGGTCCCTCTTGGGGGTGCTCTTGAGGGCCTCTCTGGAGCCTCTTGGGCTGTCCGGGGACCATCTTGGGCGACTTGGTGCACTATTGGGCCATCTCAAAGGCCTTGTACCATCTTGGGGGGGGGCCTTTATGAAGGATTGTGGCCTCGAAAGCGCGAACAATGTGTAATGTACGAGGGGGCGTGGTTTCGGGGACGCAGATCTTGTCGAGTTTACGAGGGGGGTGAGAGAGAGAGAGAGTGGGAGAGAGAGAGAGAGAGAGATAGGGAGAGAGAAAGAAAGAACGAGAGAGAGAGAGACCATTGCTTCGGAGACGCGAACATTGTGACATCTAACCGGAAGTATGGTCTCGGAAGCGCGAACACAGCGTAATTTGCGAGGGTGTGTAGCCTCGGGGACGCGAATATTGTGTAATTTACTAGTGATGGTGGCCTCGGGTGCGCGAATAAGACATGTCCCAAAACCTCCTGAACTTTTGAGACCCCCCCAGGTGGTGGTAACCAGGGTCCTTTTCGGCCCCCCCTCGCGCGGATTCCCATAATTTTTCAGTAGGAAGCAGAACGTAGGACTATCAGACGGGTGACTTGAAGCTGGAACTAGAGCAGGGAGCAGAAGCCTAATCCGCGGAGCCTAATCAGGAAGTGGTCCCACAAGGGGGCCGGCGGATTTGATCGCGTAGCGACTGCAATGCCGTGCTGGTCAGAGACGCCCCTCGTTTGTCATTCCATGTTGCGAATTCGCGGAAGTAAGCAATGTTGCTAGCAGGCAAGAGGTTGTTGGGAGTTGTCATTTTCAGGACAGGGCCCGCCAGGTTGGCAGCCGGCCAATCTCAGTTCGTTCGAGCAGAGCAGGAGAAGTGATCATATGTTTAGTGTATGTTCTGTGTATATGTGACCATGTGTGACGCCCGTTGGACTCAATTCCATAGTGCACGTGTGGTGTTGTAGTCGTTGTTTGCCGCGTGTGCCACACAGTTCGAATGTCGCTGGGTGAACTCATGGTGCCGTCAATCGGCCCGCGTTTGTGTGTGTGTGTTGCGTAGGTCCGCTTTCTCGCGCGCACTGTTTCACGTAGCTTCGCGGTTGCCCCGAGCCGGACGAGCGATTTTTCACAGTTCCCCAGTTTCTTTTTCAAATGAGTTCATGGCGTGGGCGTTCGCTGGTGCGTATTCTTCGCGCATCCAAACTACATGCAGCTGCCTGAGCAGATGCGTATATGCACATGAACGGAAACATAATTACAGACGCAAGACAAAGCGCCCCGGTGTCTGTGAGTGTCAGGATGCATTGGAAGTGGATCCCCCTTTCCAGTGAGGTTGCGCGCATCGATGCGTTCGAAGAGGTAGCCCACGGTCACGCTTAGCGCAGCGGGCATTCCTACGTCCTCGCAGTGCGCTCTGCTAACAAAAACTGCCCTCGCAGCATAATCGTGCAGCCGTGAAAGTATGTTTTCGGGTCGTCCAGTCTTGAGAGCAACATCGTGTACATGCTCATAGAAATACAAGTGTGCGCCGATGCACATGCTTGTGCGTGTTCAAATACGGCGCATCTCGATATACAGACACCTGCTTGGCCAGCCCATCCGTTCGTCCGGCCATAACCCGTCCAAAGATTTGTTGCGTGTGACTAGTATCCCTCGGTGAATAAGGTGTCTCTCCAGTCTGCCAGTTACTTTCACCCTGGCCACACCAGATAAGCGGCGGAAGATGAGGAGGAAGATTCGGGAAGAAGGGAGGTGGCGGGCGGGGATGGAGAACGGTATGACCTACCGCGGCAAACCGCCCCTCGTGCCACCCGACTAGGAAGCCGGATGTGATCGACCGCCTCATGGATTTCGCGGCGCCCGTGGGCCATGGGACGGGGGAAGGTGACGGGGAATTGGAGCGGGGTTGTTCAATCGATCTTGATTGTCTCCCTACAGTCTTGAAGGGATGTCATCCCTACAGTAGATCACGTCAGTAGCGCCTTGCAGAGCGACTTACTTGGGCACCTGCCCCGTTTCAGTCGGCATTCCTACATTCCGGACAAGCATCGTTTGGCTTTGCGCTTCTCATGCCATTAGGCGTGTCCTGTATGGTTGCGTGCTTGCTTGTAGTGTTTCGGTTGGCGTTGCAGATGTAGCGTGCGATGTGGCGCTGCCGGCCCCGCTTGTTACACCCAATCCCCCATCTGGGGGAACAGCGTACACTGAGGAAGCCCTGGCAGGGGGATAGCGCGCGCCAATGAGACCCTCGCAGGGGGGATAGCGTGCGCAGAGGGGGCCCTCGAGGGGGAATCTCCTGACAGGGATCGATTCACAGGGAGGTCGGTGGTGCACGCTATCTTTGCGACGCCAATCGTATCAGGGATTGGGGCCGCCATTGCGGCAGGCCCTTTCGGTTGTCGTGTGCGCTTGTCTGCCTGTCTGCCCGTCCCATTCGACGTCGCAGAGGCCTTGCGCCTCGTAGCACGATCCAGGACAGCACCGGCTGCGAGTGGACACGCGGGGATCCTTCGTGGCATTCAGGGGCGGCTCGTGGATCCCCGTGGCGGCCACGGCAAAGGGGGGCGGCCGGGCTGGGGAGTTCCGCCTGCAGGTGTCAGAGGAGGCAGATTGCGTCCGTCAGGTTCGCGTCGCGTCGTCCGGCAGCGACCCCGCCGCTGGCGTTCGACGTTGAACGCCGCCAGCGATCCAGAATCGATCGATGTTGAACGATATGACGTTTCGGAAATGGCCGATCGTTTAAGGTTGAACGGTCCCCGCGGTATCGGAACCAACGCCGAAGTCGGCACAGCGCGAACTTGCCGTCGATCCTCTTCCCTCGGCTGGGTGGTCTCAAGTTGGACAGCTACATGGGCTGTTTGCGGTGCCCATCTGCCATGTGTGTCGCAAGGACGGAAACAGGGAAGAGCTTGAGCCCGACACTTGTCAGGAGGGGAAAAAACACACAGACACAATTAATCGGCGATTCCCAGAAAATATAGGAAAATATGGGAAGTGGGGGGGAAGACAAAAACCCAGAAAATATGGGAAAATATGGAGGACATTTTTATTTGTGTGTATTTATTTGTGTGTCCCAATTCCCCTTCAACTTGGGCGGACCTCTGAAGCCGAGCGGACGTGCCCGTGCGGTCCACAGTGCAGGCCACGGACAGTATTCCGCAGGACGCAAACATTGAGCGCAGGACAGCGCTGCAAACGCGTCGTAGCGCCCTAGTGCTGGGCACCCGTTCAGAGTCTGCTCGACACGGTGATGTTCGGTCATGGCGCGTAGGCAGATCATCTTGGCCCAGTTTCGGCGGGACCACCAGAAGTCAGGGCGACAATGCTTGATGTCCCAACTCCAGAGTGCCTCGCATCCCGCCGGTTGCGGCAAGGCCCGCCACCGTGCCAGCCCATCGCCTCGGGTGGCGACTGCCCGGGGGGGGCGCGCAGGAGCCCGCGTCGTGTCTTGGGTTCGCCGTTCGTTTTCTTGGTATCCCTCCCTTTCTTCCGTCCTCTCTCTGGGCGCCCGTGGGGCAGACTTGGAGGTCCCCTGGGCCACGGTGGGCCGTCTCGGGGTTCTCTTGGACCGCCTTGTCCGTCTGGAGGGTCTTGCGGCCCTCTGTTGGCCGTGTCGTGCCGCCGGGGGGGTCCCTGAGGCCGTCTTGGGCCCCTTCAGAGGCCTTCTGGGGTCAGCCGGGGGCTCCCTTGGGGCTGTGGTAGGGGCACTCTTGTGCTGTCTTGAGGCCGCCTCGGGGGATGCTTGGGCAAGGGGAGGATTTTCTTGGCCCGTTTGGGGGGCCATCGTGAAGCCGTCGGGAGCTGCAGGAAGCCCCAAAAGGTGACCAAGCCCGAATCTTTGAAAGACAAGGATTTCGGCTCCTTCGGGCCCTACTGTTGGGGTCCTCGTGTCGCCCTCTTTGGCCGTCTTGGGCGCTCTTGGGCTGTCTTGAGGCCATCTTTGGCCGCCTTCGGGCCACCCTGGGCCGTCGTGCAGACATCTTGGGCCATCTTGGTGGTCTGGGTCGCATGCCTCGTCCGTCTTGGAATCTCGGGAGCGCGGGTCCATATTTGTTTTGCAAGGGATCGTGGCCTCGGGAGCGCGGACCCCCCAGTGTTTGTTTCGAGGGATCGCATCGTGACCTCCGGAGCGCGGATCCGTCGTTCTTGTACGAGGCATCGTGGCCTCGGGGAGACCTCGGGAGCGCGGAGATCCATCATTGTTGTTCGAGGGATCGTGGTTTCGGAAGGGGGGGGAGTGGTGCAAGCGGCAGTCTGCACAAAGAGGGGGGCCTCTAGAAGATTACCCATCGGTCGCTGAAAGTTGGGACTTTTGGAGTCCCAGAATCCAATCTACTCCAGGCGCCGTCCCACTTCCATGATTGAGTGGCTTCACTTTTCCCGTCCTCCTTTCAGGATCGGGAAACGCAAGACTCGAGAATGCCAGAACTCGGGTTTGCCGACGCTTTTGGAGGAGCGCGTCCTGGATTTTGACGGTCCAGTTTTCGTGGGATGTTTGCAGCGGGAGCCCTCGTCAAATTTCAGATTGGGTCGCGTCATTGTCATGATGGCCCCGTCGGGCCAACCCGAGTCCCCCTGACCCGAGGCTTACGTCTCCTCGATAGGAGGCGGACGGAACCCAATCTACTTTCAACGCCTTCCTACCTCATGCTTCTACCTACTTCTTCCGACCGAGGGGTACACAGACCTGACCAGGCAGCCCTCGGCAGTCTGTCGCGCCTCAGCGTGCCAGGGTGCACGGGGCCCGTCGGGCTTTCGCAGCAGGGGAGCAGGGGGACCGACCCACTTCTTCCCAGGGGTAACGGCAGGGGGGGGAGGGGAGGGGGGGTCGGGAGGGTGGGGCGGTCGGGAGAGGGGGGGGGAGGGGGGGGGAGGAGGTGAGGATGGGGGGAGAGCAGGGGATTGCTCACTGGACTGCTCATGCGGCGGAAGGCCCCTCGGGGCCATGATCGCCCCACCGCGAGCGCCGCCACCCTGAGGGTCCTGTGGGCCAGCGCAGCCGGAGTCGGCGGGCCAGCGCGGAGGTGGGGCGAGGAGGAAGGGAGGCGGGGAGGGAGGGGGGGGCAGGGAGGAAAGAGGGGGGGGGCACAAGCAGGGTGTGCCAGAGTCACATATGACGTCCTACCCCTTCCTCCTACCCCTTACCATGGCATAGATTTCTCATATTTTCGGACAATCGGATGTCGAGCAGGGTACTGATCCCAAGAGGGTACGCGATGAATGGAAACGCATGACGTAGAACAGCACGGCAGAGCATAGCATCTCATATCATGGCGTGGCATTGCGTAGTGCAGCATTGTATCACACATTGTAGCAACGCAAAGCATGGCATCGCACAGCGGTGCACAACGCAGCTTCGCATTGCATGACGTGGCATGGCACTGAACGACTTGGAGGGTAAGTGGCCATCTACGAGAGGACAGGGCCTGTCCGGAATGCCGGCTCCATGTCCTCCGCAATTGTGTTTGCCGGATGTGGGCCACGATTTTGAATGACCGAAGCGCAGAAATGGTGGCGGCGTTGCAGCGGGAACACCACTTCGGAAGAACCGGAAACGACCGGATTGAAAAAGCACAGAACAAATCAGATAATGACATTTTGTGTGTTACAAGACAAGAGGACGGGACACTCTCCAGACAGAGTCAGGGGAGAGAGGCGAGTAGTACTAATCAGAGTGAGGGGGCTGAACCGAACGGTCATTCACTGTCCCTGGGTGCGTGGCTGAAGTGGAATTCCGCGATGCGGATTCGTGTTGTTGTTGGTGGTGGTGTTGTTGGTGTTGTTATTGTTGTTGTTGGTGTTGTTGTTGGTGGTGTCGGTGTTGGTGTTGTTGTTGTTGGTGTTGTTGTTGCTGGTGTTGTGTTTATTGTTGTTGGTGGTGTTGGTGTTGGTGTTGTCGTTATTGTTGTTGTTGTTGCTGCTGTTGGTGTCGTTGTTGGTGTTGGTGTTCTTAATGCTGTTGGTGTTGGTGTTGTTGTTGCTGCTGGTGGTGTGGTTGTCGTTGTTGGTGGTGGTGTTGTTGTTGGTGGTGGTGATGTTGTTGTTGTTGCTGTTGTTTGGTGTGTGTGTCGTGTGCTGTTTATTGATTGTTGTTTGGTGTTTGGTGTTTGGTGTTTGGTATTTGTTGTTTGTTGTTCGTTGTTTGTTGTTTGTTGTTTGTTATTTGTTGTCGTTGTCGTCCCACCCGCGACCCGCCCCGCGACCCACCCGCGACCCACCCGCCACCCACCCCGCGACCCACCCACGACCCACCCCGCGACCCCCTCGGCGACCCACCCGCGACCCACCTGCGACCCACCCGCGACCCACCTGCGACCCACCCCGCGACCCACCCGCCACCCACCCCGCGACCCCCTCGGCGACCCACCCGCGACCCACCTGCGACCCACCCACGACCCACCTGCGACCCACCCCGCGACCCACCCGCGACCACCCGCGACTCACCGCGCGACCCACCCGCGACCCATCCCGCGACCCACCCAAAATGTTCGGCGCCTGCGGTCGGTTTGTTTTGCATTCGTTCCAGGTGGAGAACTTGCGACCCACCCGCGACCCAAACCGCGCCCGCGACCCACCCGCGACCAACAACGACCCACACAAAGACCCACACAAAGTTTCCGGTTCATGCGGCGGGCTTCCTGTGCAGTCGTTCCAGGTGGAGAACATGCGAACTACCCGCGACCCGAACCGCGTTCAGTGTACACATCAAAATTTTCGGCGCCTGCGGCGGGCTGTTTTTGAATTCCTTCCAGGTGACGGTGGACAGCCCGTGACCCACCCGCGACCCAAACTACGTTCACTGAACAAGCCAAAATGTCGGCGCCTGCGGCGGGTCTCCTCTGCATTCGTTCCAGGTGGAGAACCTGCGACCCAAACCCGCGCTCAGTGTACAAATCAAAATTTTCGGCGCCTGCGGCGGGCTGTTTTTGAATTCTTTCCAGGTGGAGGTGAAGAGCCCGCGACCCACCCGCGACCCACAGTACGTTTACTGAACAAGCCAAATCTTCGGCGCCTGCGGCGGGTTTCTTGTGCAGTCGTTCCAAAAGGAGGAAGAAAAGGAGAAAGAGTAGGAGGACGTGGAGGAGGAGGAAAAGGAGGAAGAGGAGGAGGAGGTGCAGGAGGAGGAGGCGGACGACGACGACGACGACGATGAGGACGAGGACGCGGACGAGGAAGAGGAGGAGGAGGAGGAGGAGGAGGAGGAGAAGGGCACCATCAACAGGGAAGGTGAGGGCCACGAGGTCCGCCGGCTCGACGCCTGCGTCGCCCGCGCCCGCCCCCTCACTCTTATCCACAATTGCGGGGTGCTACGTATATTTGTAATTGTGGACGGGGGGAGGGGGGGGCGAGGAGAAGGGGGGGGGGGGGGGGGGGGGAGGATGGGGGAGGGGAGGAGGAGGTGGCTTGCCCAGGTGGGCAAGCATCGACCCCCAGTCGCTCCGTCCTCGACGCCAATCGGGGCCCCGATGTCCTCACCTGCCCGGGAGCGTCGGGGTCCCCCAGTCGGGGGGGCCTGGCTTGTCGGCCGCTTTGTCGGCGGTGTGCCGTCGATTCCAAAGGTCAGTGTGTCCCCCCTCAGCTGGTCCCCACCCCAGACATCATCCAGCGTCTCGGAAAAATCGAACGGAGTTTTGTTCCTTGTTTTCGGCCCCGCGGGGCCCTTACCGTGCCCTGGGTCCGTCCAAAAACGTCTCGGGATGAAAGCCAGTCTTGGGGAAGTGGTCGAGAGGTCGGGGGCCCGTGTCTCGAAAAATCGGGACGCCGGATGTCTGGGTTCCCCCCTTTCAGCTGGTCCCCACCAGCGTGGCGGCCACAGTTCGTCGAGAATGACAGAACCCGTAACCGTAAGAGCACAGTGAAGCCGTGGCCTCATCGAGGCCCCCGTCTTTGCATCAGGGATATTCAGTATGGGCGGTTTGGCTTGATACATCTGCAGAACAGACCCCCTATCCCTAGTTGTTGTTGGCCCTCCTACCTCAGGTCCCCTCCCTAAGGGTTAGGGAGTAGTTTTGCTGGTTCGTCCACAGTGGGTGTGGTCACGCCGGGGTGCGTCTTGCGATCTGCGCCGCCGGGGCCTGGAGGGGGCACCGCGTGGCGCCCGCAAGGGGCTGACCCCTGGCCCTCGCTGCGACCCAGGGCACTCGCTGCGACCCGGCTGGGCGCAGGCCGCAGAGCGCACCTTTGCATAGACCACGCCCTTCGGAGCCGCTAGTCAGAGCCCCGAATCATCAGGGGTAACTCGGGTCAGGGCTAACTCGGGTTCGTTTTTCGGGAATCCGAACCCGACTTACCCCGGACCCGAGTTACCCCGGATAATTCTGGCGTCCAGAGCCCCACATCATCAGGGGTAACTCGGGTCAGGGCTAACTCGGGTTCCTTTTTTCGGGAATCCAAACCCGAGTTACCCCGGACCCGAGTTACCCCGGATAAGTCGGGCGCCCAAGCTAGCGTTGAGTCGGGCCTGTCCCTCCACAGGAGGAGTATCCAAGAACAGGTCAAAGAATTGTCAAAGGACGTTTTTTGTTAGCAGTGTTTCATTCTGAATTGAAAGATTGTTGCATCCGTCGTCCAACATCCGCCTGTAGGAGGACATGCCCGACCTATCGCTAGCTGTCGTTCCCCCCGTTCCCCCCTTCTAAGGGAGGGAAAAAGCACCTGGACCCGAGATTCGGCCTCCACCAAACGGCCCTGGCGTTTATGGGCGCGCCTCCAAAGGCAGGGCGGATGCCTAGAGGCCCGCCCGGCTTCTGGCCTTCTAAGAGGCCGCTCCGCCTTCTCGGGGAGCCGCCCCCCCCCCTCGCGCCACCCTTCTCTTGGGCGCCGCCAGCCCCAGATCACCGACGTTGGAAGAAGAAACAACGGCATAAGCATAAACTTTTGGCGCTCCGCGCAGATTTCTTGGATCCGCGCTGGGCCAACCCGCCAGCGGGCGCCTCCGGCGCCGCGCGCGCGCCAGGGAGGAGGTTTCAGCGCAGATCCAAGGAGTCCGCACAGAGCGCCAACAGTATGTGTATGCGGTGCCTCCTCTTTTCTAGACGTCGTGTTGCTCACAGCACCGACCCCCAGGGGTCTGAGCCCCATCCCCTGGACTGGAGGTTCGTCCCGAGCCGTTTCTGGACGGCCCTAATTCGGGCCCAGCGACGGCCAAAAGAGGCCAGCAGTGGTCAAGAAGCGTCTGCTGTTTCTGTGTTGGTTCGCAAGGCGAGGGGGTGGGGGCGATCTAGAGGGTAGCAAAATAGACGAGACTGATTCGTAGGGCGACCCTTCCAAATCAAGGGTGCCCTTGTGTACTCAGCGTCGCGACCCATGCCTTCTTACATTCCTATGGCAATGTGGCCCTCGGAAGGGTCTTGTGTCCTCTCGCGTGTCCTCTCCAATCAACCTCGACTGTACTACAAATCAGTGACTTTCGGAGCTCCGCGCGGTTGTCTGAGATCTGTGCTGGATCCCCTTGGCGGCGCCTCCAGCGCTGCCCCTGGCGCGCGGAGCGCGCCAGGGAGGAGGTGTCAGCGCAGATCCAAGAAATCCGCGCGGAACTCCGAAAGTTTATGCTTACGTATGCCGCTTTGTCCTCTCTAGGACTGATATCCGCTGATCTGATTTGTCCTATCTACGGACGCAGGAGTCCCGACCGTTTCCCCAGGGGTAGTCTTTCCTCCCAGATCGATTATTGATGGTCCCGGGGACCCAATAGTGGTCCTGGAGGGAAGGGATATAGGAACAAAAGCGCCAGTTGGAAAAACTATCTCGTCTGAATTTCGGGGCCCGCGCCCCCCCGGGCCCGGCCGCCTTCTGATGAGAAGGCCTCCTCCCCATTTCCCCCTCTCGCTCGCTACCGATCCAGACCGCGAGTGCAGACCGAGAGTTTCCTTCGGTACGGCGTGTTGTGTGCCTGCGAGACCCGCCGTGCTCGCTCGGGAGGCCCATGCAGATGGGGCCGTAGACCTTAGCATCGGGTACTCTCCTGCAGGAGGAGGAGGAGGAGGAGGAGGAGGAGGAGGAGGCGGAGGAGGAGGAGCAGGAGGAGGAGGAGGAGGAGGAGGAGGAGGAGGCGGAGGAGGAGGAGGAGGAGGAGGAGGAGGGAGGAGGAGGAGGAGGAGGAGAGGAGGGAGGGAGGGAGGAGGGAGGGAGGAGGAGGAGGAGGAGGAGGAGGAGGAGGAGGAGGAGGACCATACCAGTGTTCGCCGCTCGTGACCTCCGCCGGCCCACGAGGGAGAGCGCCCGGCGAGGTGCGCGGGAGGCGCGGCGGGGGCACGGCGAGGCGGCTCGTGGCGCGCGCCAAGGCGCAGGTGCGCGCCGCCAGGGCGCAGGCGAAGGCCCCGCGCCCGCGCGGCGCGCGCGCGCGCGCGGTGGGCCCCCCTGGCGCGCGCGCGGAGATCGCGCGCGTGTGCGCACAGGTCGAGACAACCCCCCAGACCCCGAGGAGAATTCATAAATCAAATCTGGACAGGGGGGGGGTCCTGTTTTTCGGCATCTGGAGGCCCTTCTCGGCCCTCGGGACCGTCAAAACACGACTCAGGATGGAAAACCGTTCCAACGGAATGGGTCGAGACCTCTGAGGGTCGACGTTCGGAACAAATCATGACGTCGGGGGTCTGGGTCGGTGGCGAAATCCGAGCCCTACCCTCGCCGATCAACGGTTCGGGCAACCCGAGGGGCGGCGGGGACGGGCTTCGGATTCGTCGAACACGCGGCGAAGTCCAAACCCTGCCCCTGCCTCCAATGGACTTCAGAGAATGGTTGGTGGGGGTAGGGATAGGACGTCGCCGCGTAACAACGGCGGCCCTCTCGGAGGGGCTCGGGGCTCGCGCTTCGAGGTGTTCGGGCGTTTCCCCGGTCCTCGGCGGTTTTCCAGCCTCGGGCGAAGGAGGAATAGAAGGAGGAGGAGGAGGAGGAGGAGGAGGAGGAGGAGTTTATCCAGCGTTTTCGTCGGTCCTCGGCGGCCTTCCGGCCTTGAGGTGCCTTCAGCAGCCGCGCCTCGCCGAGAGCGTTTTGGGGTTTGCCCAGATCGTCCCGAACGGCTGCCAGAGGTCCGAGTTATGGTCCGAAAGCGATGGAAAAAACTCCTTTTCCTCCCCCTCCTCCTCCTCCTCCTCCTCCTCCTCCTCCTCCTCCTCCTCCTCCTCCTTCTCTTCCTCCTCCTGCTTCTGGAACCGGAAGCCGTCTCGGTATTGCAAGCACTGTGGCGCCCCGCTGGCTGCTGTTCGCCCTGCTGACGGGAATCCTCCAGCCAGTGGGGTTCGGGCCCAAGTCCCGCATGGAGTCTTCAGCCCGCTGCCGCCTTGGACCATCCAGTCGCATTAGCCCCACGAGCAGCACGCTCCCCCACCTGGACAAAGTGCTGCAGCCCAACCAGGTGGTGGCGGCACCCATGGCGGCCCAGGGATCCCCAAGGCAGCTCCCCTCCCAGTCGGTGCCCAGAGTCAGCTCACGGCCTCCGAGGCTAAGCCGTGGCTGACATGGCTCGGAAGAGGGGAGGTTTGGTCACTGCTGCCAAGTACGAGTCCGAAGTCAAGAGACTCCATGCTCAAGAAGCACCTAAGCGACCTACTCCACTGCATCAACGAGTCCAGCAGCAGTTCGCAGTCGTCTCGAGGCTGGATATGGCTTTGGACAAGGAGGTCGACAAGCTGTTGGCGTGTGGGAAGGATGTTATACAGCTTGAGAGCGCAGTGCGTGACATGCGAGCCGGATTCGACCAGGCTGACACAGCGTACAAGTCTTTTGTCTCGGAGTTGCAGCAGCAGGCCGCCGTCGGCCAAGTTCCAGGCGTTGGTCCAGCCAAAGTCGAGCTCGAGGACATTTGCAACGAGTCCTTCGATCTCGCCACGGTGCTCACCATCGACGAGTTCTCTTCCTTTGAGGGCGGCGAGGAGCTGGGCGAGGGCCGCGACGAGATCGCCAAGCGGAAGGATGACCTCAACGCGGGTGTGTCCAAGCTGGCGAAGGAGTTGTTGGGGCCGTTGGCCGCTGCTGCCAAGCAAGCTCGCGATGCGCATCGAGAGCACTTCGCTCGCTTGGCTACCAAGAAGAGGCGAACCACCGACGGCATGGTCGCTGGTGGAGGAGGAGCTCACACTCCTGCACCTGAAGGCGCACGCGCTGACGGCCCAGCTCCTGCTGAGCCCACGTCAGCGGGCAGTGGCGACATGCCAGAGGCACCAACCAGTGCAGGCGGCAGCGGGAGGTGGAGCCGCCCACTCGGCAGCCGATGTGTGGACCAAGGCAGTAGGAGCCCTTCAACCCCCCACCTCTGCCCCTGGCGGGGCGGGGGAGAAGTTGCACCGCAGCCTGGCCGCACATCCGCTCACGCATGCGCCTGTCAGCGGCAGCGCTCATCACTTGAGCGCCCCGGCAGGACGCCAGCTTGGCCCCGATGCTGCCTTGGGATTGCATCGCTTTCCATACCTAGGCTCTGCCTAGAAGGGTTCTTACCCTCTTAGCTTAAAAAGGGCCCGGCAGTGGAAACCGCCCCGGGCGGTTCCCCCAGCCCCCTGGGAGCCGAGCAAAAGCAGCGGCAAAAGGTAAAAGTGAAGGCAAAAGCGAAGGCAAAGCAAAAGCACAGCATAGCATAGCATAGCATAGCATAGCACATCATAGCATAGCGCAGCATTGCATAGCGCAGCGTAGCGAAGCAAAGCATCGCATAGCCTAGCCTATCCTAGCCTGGCCCAGCATAACATTGCGCAGCATAGCATAGCAGATCAGAGCATAGCATGGCATGGCACAGCGCAGCACAGCATCCAATATTGCTGCTGCTATATATATATATATATATGTATATCTATGTATAGATGTATATATGTATGTAAATATATACATATATGTATATATATATATATATATATATATATCAACTCCTAGGTAGGGTCGCACTGGGTTAATTCCCCCCCCCCCCCCCCTGTCTCAGCCTCCAGCAGGCAAATTGCGCCCCCGGGAAACATCCAGGGAACGCATGAGAGCCCTGGAGGACCTGGGCGGCAGCCCCCACCTTTTGCTGAAGACGTGCTCGGAACCCATGGACTCAGCACGCCGCGCCCGCTAGGCGCGAACATCCTCCGCGACAGAGCTGGAAGCTCTCTCGTGGAGGAGCAGGCAGGCGCCTGCCCGCGTTATTTCTCTGGCGCAGGCGATTGAGCGCGCCCCGGCCGAATCAGCGCTTGCCCTATGGAACCTGTCAGACCCCGAGCATGCGAAGGCCAAAGACGACCGCGGCCCCGGCGCCCGTCCGCCCCCCCTGGATTGCCACGGGCTTCGAGGACCCATAGCTTTTGAGCTCGGCGTGACAGGCGGCGGTTTTATGCCAGCCCAAGCTTCCCAGTTTTTCCCGCTCCACCCCCCAGAACCCTGCCCTGGAGATTCCCAAGCGGAATTCATAATTCCAGATTGTCAACGTTAGTTCATGGCACTCGGACTCGGGCGGAGGCCCCAAGGCATGGCCGCCAAAATGCAAGCGCACATCCTTCTCATCCAGGAGCACACCTGTTGAAGCCTGATCTGGAAGAAGCTATAGGCTGGGCCCATCGGCACGGGTGGAAAGCTATTCTTGGGCCCGCAGCTCCTGGCATCTGTCGCGGCGCGCCTCCTGGCGTCGGGACCCTCGTCCGAAACTCTCTCGGCTGTCATGCCCCCCCCCCCCCCCCCAGGAGGGCGCATCATTGGGCCGCGCTGTTCTATTGGAGCTATTGTGCATGCTCCGGGCGGGGGCCCTGCGCTCGCGCGCAGCACCGACCTGCGCGCGCGAAGGGCTGTCAGAGGCCAGCGTGGAGCTCCTTGCCCTCATGGGTACGCTTGTGGAGCAGGTTGCTTTATCCACTATTAGCGGTGCAGACTTTTATTTGAACCCTGACGCGCTTGCTGCGCCAGGCGCTGTTAACCGTCTGCGTGCACAGGTCGTCGTTCCCAGCAGCGCGATCGGCGCGCGCGGCACCGGCACGTTCGACTACTTCGTCGTCTCCTCGGGGCCCACTAGAGGCACCTCCCAGGTCGAAGCGATTCATGCATCGAGCATCGTCACCCACCTACCAGCGCAGCTCAGGCCCCATGCAGGCATTGTGCGTCTCCACGGCTTTGTTTTTCGCGAGCCGCCACCATTGCCGACGGAGGCGCCGATCGACCCCGCGCCGCCGCCGCCTGCGCGGGCAGCGGCGCAGGCTGAAGCTGACCGCGCCCTCGAAGCTTGCCAAAGCGGCGACGCCCATGCTGTGCAGCGCATGCTCGACGCCCTCGATCAGCATTGGGCCGACTCGACCGAGAAGGAGTTAGCGGGGACTTGTCAAACCACCCTCCCGCGGTGGGAAAGCAGCGGGGAGATGCCTCAGCAGAGGCGGGGCCATATCCCCCCCCGCTCTCGCCCCCAGAGCGGCTTGGTTGGTCGGCAATTTTTGGCCCCCCTTCAGCCCGACGCGATTGGCACAGGGGCCGCCCGGGCGCAGGGGGCGCGGAGGTTGCTTTTTGCCCCCGCCAACCTTTCTAAAGCAAGGGCTGGATCCCCACGCTGATTGTCTTTTGAGAGCGCAGCAGTTTTTAGGCCAGCGTGACTTGGACGAGCATCTGACGACCTTCGCCGTCAAGGCCAAGTCGCACGCACTTGCCGGGTGGAGGGGGCGGCTGCCCCAATCCATCGATCAGGGAGCGCGGAGGGCCCATCCGCACGTGCGAGGGAGTCAACCATGGACCCCACCCCTACTCTGAGTCGGGATGGAGCCGTCATATCTGGCCCCCTGGCCGTGCTGGCGGCCGAGGCTGGTACATTCAGCGCGTTGTGGGGGGCCTCGAACGCTCCGCCCGAATCGAGCCCCAAGTCTCAAAGTGTGGACCCAGACCCCCTTTCCCGAGGCCCACTGCCGATGAGTTGCGCTCTGCTTCCACGCGTTACTCGTCTAGATCTGCCACGGCAGTTGATGGCTTTCACACGAAGCAGTATGCCTCTCTGTCGGACGGGACCTTGGTGTCTTGGGGGCCTTGTTTTCGGCCACGGAGGCTTCTGGGCATTACCCTGGGCAGATTTCCCTGGCGGTCCTTTCCCTGCTGACCTGGCTTCAGGCCCATCGGCCTGTTCTGCAGTCCCCATCGCCTCTGGGGGCGATGCCGACGGAGGTTTGCCGTCCAATGGGGAAGTGGTTCCAACGGAGTTATTCCGCGGGTTCCCAGTTTTCGCCCGCCGTCGACGCGGTTCGGAGGCAATATTTATGCGTTGATGGAGCTGTGTCCAAGAAAGAAACCAGTTGTGCGCTGTTATGGGACCTTTTACAAGTGCTTTCAGCTCGTCAGTCTCTCGACCCTCCTTCAGCGCTGCCACCAGTTTAATTTCCCC